ACCCAAGGAAGGGAGCCAGAGCCTCCCTGTTATTGGAAAGACACCTTGAGCAGTTTGCCTAAAACCAGGATCTTCCCCAGTGTTGTACTGCTAACCCTTCATAGAAAAATAGGAAGTATTAAACACTGCAAGGGCCAAGGCTGGTGAGGCGACTTTAGTAAGTAGCAATATAAAAAAAGTAAAAACCAAAGAAACGTTGAGGATCATAGACTATTTATTTTATTCCCAGGTCTTTGGGACAGAGGATGTAAGGAAGCAGGTAATATGGTTCCTGCTGGGATTAACTGGCAGAGTAACAGAGGTCACTTGGGAGGCAAATCCTCTGGGTCATCCCCTACCACTTCTAGAGAAATTCCTGTCCCATGTCAAGCGCTGGTGGCTTCTCTGCGGATCAGTGAGATATAGTGCGGATGTTCTCCTTGACCCTTGAAGCGCTGTCTGTGGCCCCAAAGAAAAGTTGGCTGGTGAGAACAGGGCTGGCATTGCTGGGGATGCTCCTCTCCATGCTGAAATCCCATTACCCCTGCTGCCCTGGGTCCTCCTATACATCCCTGCAGGGGCTGGGCAGCAGGGCGCAGGCAGTGCAGCACAGCATGCAGTCGCTGGAGGGATCTTGCAATAATGTTTTTATGATAAATAATTTTGTTTTGGTTTTCCACTTCAGTGGCCAAAGTCAGCGTGTCTCTTTTTGCTTCACAAGTGAAACCCAAACAACCGATGCCATTCAAAGGAGCCTGAGAAATTCTAGGAAGTCTCTAATGAGCTGACAGTTGGTGGCCAGAGGACATGCAGAAAACAGCCAGTCAGCCGTGCCTTCTGGGCTGCTGCTGGAGCTATCTCCCTGTAACCCAGGGCTCTACTTTAGCACTGCAGCTCCCAATTGCCAGGCTAAGGCACACCCTGGTAATGCTCCAGGCCTCCCAAATCTCCAGGGGCTTGACTATGAGCTTTCGCAAAGTAATTATAATTCTGGGATTCTATTAATTTCCTTGGAGGGGGGAGGGAATGCGAAGGTACCAGTACTCCTTGTATTTTTATATTTTCTAAATGCCCCAAAATGCCAGAAGTTCTAAAAGAAAATAATCAAACTTTCAAAATTAGATAACTAATTGTAGTGAAGCAATTTGACTTTATACTACTTACTTCATTTCACCAAGATAGTTCATAGGATGCTGACAAGCATTCTCTTCAACCATTCATTTTCATTATGAAAAGAGAAGGCATTCTAAAACATAATCTCCCCCCCTCTTTTTAGTGTTTTAGTTCTCTCAGAATGAATAGCTAAAATGTATTACATCAGAAATTTCCCTCCCTTCCCTCAAAACAAAGCCACTTGCAAATACTGTGATCAGTGAGGACACCTCTGCAGGCCTGAGTTATAAAGGGATGAAGCCAATGTCTCTTCCTTTGCTGCTGCTGGGCTTGACCACATGCTGGTACTCAGCCTGAGAGGCTCATTGAGCTTCTGCTGCTCTTCGCAATGCCAGAACTCAAGGCTATCCTCAGGTTGACCAGCGGCTGCTCTTGGTAGAGCAATTGCCATTTTGATCCATTGTTTCTAGTCCAAGGAGAAGTCTTCCCTTTGGTGCTTTAGTTCAGAGACATTCTGTCTACCAGGGTGAGTTGAAACCCAAAACATGTTGCACAAGAACTCTGGAAATTTCCAAATAACACTAATTTCTAGAACAACATTAACTAGCTAATGTTTGGTCCCAGCAAAAGAATAAAAACTCAAATAGATTTTGAATGAAAAATGACTGAAGGGGAACATACAAAAATGTTTTCATTTCATAAATGAGTTTGAATTGTTTTGCCATTTTAACTCAAAAGAGGAAATGCCACAAACAGCATAAGGGAGGTTGCTGTTGCCCTTTTAAAACTTTATTTTAATGCACTGAATGGACCAGAGCCCTGAGGAATGTCTTTCACTCCTTTCATCCCCAACCCACCAGGCAGCTGTCCTGCTCAGCAGCCGTCCCCCCACCCCGAGCTGGCAAGTCAAATGTCACATTCATTTCAGTTTCCAAAAGTGAGTGCTCAGCTGTACCACTAACCCAACTTCTTTTTGATGACCACACCAACCTCTCCCACAAACGTATATTAAGAGGAAGACCCCTGCCCAGTAACGGTACTTGGACCAAGTGAAAAGCAAGTGCAGTAGAATTTGTGGAAGTGCAATGAGCCACTGGTGCTAGTACTTCCCAAAAATGTACATGTCTGGGGGAAGCCAAAGCTGATTTTGCACTTTCTGCAGCTAGAGAAAGGACTTGTACTACACATTGATCTGTACTGATCTATAGGCAAGCTATAGACTGTGCCTTCCTACATGGTGACCTGATGGGTGGGTGGCGTTAAACCTGACACACAAACCCCTTACCTGATGCTTCTCATATTGCTTAGTGAGGAGCACATGCTTAAAGCCCAATGGGCCCTTTGGGGTCAGCTGTTTTTCTACTTCCTGTCACAACCTAGCTAAAATGATTTCCAGGACATGGGCAGAAAAATCAAGTCACTGGAGCTATCACTGCTGGTAAATAATCTCTGCTACCTGGCTGGCAGCTGAGAGATAACAGTTCTCATGAAAAAGAGTGACTGATAATCAATGTATGAAATACAGACAATCTTTCATGAAACATAGCCTCAGCGCAGTTTTTGGACATAAACTTACTAGTTACAGCAGAATCTTTTAAGAAATTAGTGCTCAGGAATCATGGCAATTTAAGGTTATCTGTAACCATTATTGAGAGTTACAAAAGTTTCTGGAAACCACAACAGAACTGTAGAGTAGGTTTGCATATTTTTGTTACAACTTCAGTTCAAAACTAGGGGCTAAAAAGTCTATGCAAGTGCTCCTTGTCCTCTTTTGAGACTCAGAGCTCCCCACAGGATGAGCAGGAAGTTTCCTAATCCACATACGGGAAGGGGGAAACGTTTCACTCTCTTGGTTTCCGCCTACAGCGCAGTAGAAATAGGGATGCTGTTATCCAACCTCTCCAGTGATCACTGTGAACATTTTGGTCTAGGGTGTGACTGGTCATTCCCTGGTGACTTGGCCAGCAGCATCATGTCTCCATTGCATCTTTATGGCATACAACGAGAACCAGAAACAAAACATTCTGCTGGTGGTGATGTATATGATGCTGGTCACTACCTCCATGTATCCTGTAGTGTTTCAACAGTCTTTCTTCTTCTTTCCTATAGAGCTTACAAGTATTTTCTTCTCTAGCTAGTAAAGAGAATGGAGGAAGAATCACTTCCTAGCATTCAGTATACAGGTGGGATTTCCTTTTCTGCTTCTTGCTAAATGAATGTTACAGCTGAGGTTCTCTGAAGTGCCCTTGCTGATGGCAGAATTATAGAAGAGTTGAGTGGCAAGCACCCCTGGAGGTCATCTGGTTCACTGCACCTGCTCAAGCAGGGCACCTAGAGCCAATTGTGCAGAGCAATATCCAGATGGCCTTTGAGTATCTCCCAAGGATGGAGACTCCGCAACCTCTCTGGACAACCTTTGACAGTGTTCAGTCACCCTCACAGGAAAAAAATAGTGTTTCCTGATGTTCAGAGGGAACATCCCATGTTTCTGTTTGTGCTCGCTATCTCTGGTCCTGTCACTGGCCACTGCTGGAAAGAGCACTCTGGATCAGTCTTGTTTGCAACCTCCCTTCAGATATTCGGTCCATGATGGTCTGCGGTCCTGATGGTCCATGCCGGTAGCACGATTTCTGGTTTCTCTTTATATCTGGGTACAATAATGCTTTGAAAGGCAGATAAAATACGTACTAAATGCTTTCCTAATGTGCTTTTCCACATAAGCTGTTGCTTAGAAGTGGCTCAAAAAAATAATTCAGGGGGAAATGGTCTGTGTAAACATGAGCAGGGATGGAGGCAGTAATCACTGTGAGCCTTGAAGCAAGAAAATAGCAGTAAGATTTTTTCAGAAAGCAGAGATGTCGTATTCTAGGTTGCTTCAGAAGGGGAAACATTTCAGGAAAATAAAATTAATGACATGATAACTGAATAAATGCATAGAATAACTCCTTTGGCTATGCTAAGTAAGAATTCACTAATTATTTGTACCACCTCAGCTACTGGGATATGTCAGTATAAAGTCTACTTTGCTTGACACGGGGGGTGGATGAGACAGGAGAAAAAATGGTTGAGAATCAGCCACAGTCTCGGTATCTTCTGAAGCCTTACTAGAAAACACTGACAATGCTAATTGTCACAAAGCTGGCATCTCCTGGCTCCCCCAAAACATTAGTTTTTAATTTTCTTAATCAGACTTACCAAACAGAGCCAAGACCTGAGTGGAAGAGAAAAAGCCCATGAAGCCATTTTAAAAAGAAAACTCTGAAGAAGGGGAGCTCTTCAAAGAGCTTTTCTGACAGAACAGAAATGTTTAAGGACCAAAACAGTTGAGGTCTGTCTCTCATATGAGTTAGTAGGGGGTTTTGATAGTATAGTTCTAGAAACTTTTGCTGATATGCTCTGTACCTACTATTAACCACATACCAACTATGCTGATGCTAACCCTTATACAGCAGAGGAGTAAGTATGAGCAGGTAAGTCACAGAATTCAAATCTGGAATAATTAAAACACAGTCTCCCAGTGAGATGCAGGATACCTGCTCAGCAAGGGAAGCATTACATTTTCTCTTTCTGATGCCCCCAGCCAAAGCAGCATGAAGTAGCTCATCCTGCCTCCCTTCTTCCTGACAGATAGACTCCATTACCAGTCTACAGGATCAATCTTTCGTTGAAATTTTTCCAGAATAAACCTGCATCCATGTTTGCAAGTATTTGTCCCATGTATTCACAGGTAAAGAACTTTTATTATAATTAAACATTAAGTTTTAGTGTCACACAGTTGGAAAAATGTCTCAGAATGCCAAATTTGACCTATGTGTGGCCAGACACTAAGATTTTGCTTCGACCCAAAAATTTATTGACTTACATGAAAATATTCCATCTTAACATAGTACACATTGGTAGCATTTGAATACATATTTACAGATTTATTTGAACTTTTCTGAACTGCAATTCTACAACCGAGCAACATATCCATAAGTGTTTCATAAACTTTCAAACACTTACATATTTATACATATAGTTTTTGCATATATATATATAAAAAAATATTTTTGAGACTCAAGGACTGAGAATAGTCAAAAGGACATTATTGCTACATTTCCATATTTACAAAAACAATGCATAAACCCATTCAAAACACCAAGCCATTGCAAAATAAGATTCAAAAATCCCCAAATTATAAAAATATACATTTCAAGAACGAAAAACCCAAACCTCTTTCAGCTAAGTGTCTGTATAGTACCGAGACATCTATAATTATAACAACTAGCTTGTCTACAGTAGCTCTCAAAGCCAACACGTTACAAAAGAGCTTTTATAGCATTAAACTGAAAATGCTCAACAACAAGTATGCATAAGAGTGCCTCCAAACAACTGGCTAACTTTGGAAAGGTGCAACAGCCTAAGTATGTTCAGTGCAAATGGCTAATTTTTGACTTAACTCTGAAAGACAGCTTCCTGTAACAATAAACCAAATGCACAGTCATTGAAGCAGGGCGGTATTCAACATAACCCAAAATATACTACCAGTGTGTGTATTTATAATTACCTTGCATTTGGGCAGTTAGTACAGATTTAAATTGCATGTAAACTCAATCAAAATCCTGGCAAAGTATAAGTTACAGAGTGCTTAAGTGCATTGTAAATAAATAGGTACTCTGCTAGGACTCTGCCTCTGACAAATGCTTCTTTCAATGCCTTTACTAATTTCTAGGGGACAGAAACAAAAGAAGAAAATAACTAGCCCAATCCTAGGCTGAACAGGTACAGATCCAAAGCCTCACGTCTCAAACAAGAATGAAGGGATACGTTCTTTTATCCCTTCACAGCTAGGCTCTTTTTTATGATCTCTGGACTACAACAGAAAGATGAAACAACTCGGAGAGTGGGGAAATAGCCCTTTCCAGTTATCACTATCCAAGCCCGCCTGTGTGAAAGATTCACCTGGGTAGGACAAGATAAAGGGCCCCTAGGAGAGACATTTTTGCCTCTGCTCTTGCTTAGATAAGATGACTCATTAAACGGCCTCTCCTCCAGACACACCGTTTACTGAGAGCAGCCCTCCTCCTCTATTTTGACCAACATGGCAGGGCCCACCTATCTCTGGTGAACACTTTTGGATATAAGCAAAACAAGCATCCAAACCCTCGGGCTCTGAAAGCAAGGAGGTGTGGGAGTGGTTCAGGCTCTGTGGTGCAGTGACACCCTGTGATGGGCAGCTCCATCTGCCGCTGGTGGGGAATGGGCCAGTGGAAAGTAGCGCCTATATTTACAGAAACCTTGTGACTGGTCTGCAAGGCTGACAGTGTGGGTGGGAAATGAAGGTGAAGATCCATGTTCTTCTCCCCTCCTCTGGTTCAAACCCTAGAGCTCCCAGGAGGGTTTGCTACTGTGCAGACTAACTTTGGAAGGGTCGCGGTCCCTTCTCCTCTCTTGCCCAGATACATACAGCACCCTTGCTGGCCTCTATGATACTTGCCTGGGAAAGCTTCTCAGGCATGGCTGGATGTGGAAAGGGGTTTGCAAAGCCATCAGCTTAATATTCGTTTATTTCTTACATTTGCAAAACAAGATTAACTAGAAAATTACTGTAGGCCTTCCAGGCGTGGATCCAGAGAAGGATCACGGCAGATTTGGTTTGATATGCCATCATCTTATTCCACACCCTGGCTCAGGATTTCTTTTGTTGTTGTTTTTTTTTTTCTTCTTCAGATCTGGCTCTCTACTGCAAATACACACAATATAGCAAAATATATACAGCTTCAGTTAACATTGCAATGATGCGTGTAACCGTGCTCAGAAGATTGATTTTATGTGTAACAGTGTGTGGTAAAGGACAGTATTACAACAACGTTTCAGCTACACAGTGATAGTAGTGAGTAAAAGTAAGAGAAATTATTGAAGTTGTTCATCTCTCACCCCCTGCACAATACAGCTAATACATCTGGGCTCCTCTTCTTCCAGATGCCACTCAAACATCTTCGCGTACCAGGAGAGGCTGAGTAGATGAAGCACTACTACCCACCGAGTTAATCCTCACTGAGTGATCTGGAGCGTTTTCTTGACTGGAAGGTGGAGTTGAGAAGTTCGCGTAAACCTGCAGACACCAAAGACCAGTGTCAGTACTCCTCATGCATACCTGGAGAGCATTCCTTTGCTAGCCTTTTCTCGCTGTGTACTACACACCGCTGTGGAAAGGTTCCAGCTCAGGTGTTTCTTTGTAAATCTAAAGAGATTTTCAAAAGGTCTTGGGCTTAACTGCTCTTTTAGAGAATCAAGAACCTCAGTCTCAGTTATTAACAACACCACAGCTTCTAACTGCATGTCAAATTTCAACTGAGGTCAAGAAACGCAGCTCAGGCTGTTACTAAACTCCCTCAGAAACCTCACTAACACTTCCTTCATATTCTTGTTTTTGTTTTAGTAATGCCTGCACCTGCCAAAAATATGCTACAGGATGCAATCGAACACCAGCAGCTTTCAGTTTCCTCTTTTCTCAAATTGTCAGGAAGCCATGTATTCTGTGTCCAAACAAGGCATCCAGAAGGTAAAAAGGAGCTTTATTTTTAAACCAGGATTTAAACCTACTTCTTTAAACCCCAGTAGCACACAATGTTATTGTGAGAAAAAATCCAAGTTTCTCATGTGCCTCTAATTTTTCTTCGGACTGTTTTGTCCAGTTACACTCCCACAAAAAGGTTTTATTAGAGAATGATTGAAGCAGCAGCAAGTATGGTTTGACATGACATACCTCCAAGGTTATAAAAACAGAGCTAGGGGAAGCAAGAGAGAAGAGGCAGAAGAGCATGGAAAGCTCAACCCCTTAGTCCACAAAGATGTCTAATACAAACAAATGTGAGTATACTTTACATCTGAGATGTTTCCCAGACCAATAACATTTTTCATAGTTTAAAACGAATTTACAAAGTAAATCAAAATTGTTGTGCCAGGTCTATTTTGAGTGAGAAAGATCAACCATACTAACAGTCTACACCAGCTGGTACGTTTTAGGCATGGGCTGACAGCTACTGTCTAGTGGCACAATTAAACAGCAGTGAGTAGCCCAGATATCATTCCTACCACCCAAACTAACAGTGTAAAGCTATTTAAGTAATGCTGGAGAATTAATGAAGCACCCAGTTTTTTTGCTCTAGTGTAAAGTCTTGCTTGAAACTGCTTTGACTTCTGAAATCTGATGATCCATAACTCACCCGGGGGGCATTATCTGAAAGCTGCTGCTCTATCAGCTGCACGATTTGTTTGAATGTGGGTCTCTGTAAAGGATCAGCATCCCAGCAACTCTTCATTATGTCATACCTGCAAAGATAATGGAATTAAGTACCTCTCATGAGGAAGTCCTTAAAGCACCTATCTCATTTCCATCATTATTTCAAAGAAAAGTGTGACCCGGTCCCACCTTCTTTAAATGACATTTAAGAATAGAAATAGTGCTGATAACACCTGAGCTTGTGACAACAAAGGACTCAATACTCATCAGAGCCTCTGGACAGAACTTTCTTTGACAGCTTGCTAAGTGCCAACCATTTACAAAACAGAGGATTAGGGATGGCTCATATAGAAGATCAGTAGTCAGTCCTCTCACTGTCAGGAAGTACAGTGCAAATACAGATGCTGTACAGTCTGGTAGTACATCTCTATGTCTACTTTATCTGAACTAAAAATGTTTAATTATGTGATCTGTCAATAATTCATCAACATGGAGCAGATGCCATGACAAAGTGATCAGATGACACAACACGAGTGTATTTCATTGCTTGTAACAACACATGCATGTATTCTGCTACTTAGAGTACATGAATTATTTAAAACATGAAAAGAACTTAAACAAAAAAAGACAATGAGGCAGTGCAATAAGCCTTAAGGCAAGAATGGAAGCATCCCTTCCTTTGTGCCACTGCTTATGTTTGGTGATCAGAGGTGCTGGTTTCCCACTTACATTTCTGGTGGTGCACACTCAGGGCTGAACATTCTGTATCCCTCCTTGATCATTTTATAGAACTTGGAGTCCACAGGCATCCCTGGATAAGGGCTGCTTCCTGTTGAGAGAGCACATGAGCAACATGATTTCTGCATCTGCAATAAACAAAGATGAAATAGAAAACCCCTGAAGTACAGATCTTGAAGGAGCTTACCTAAAGAAAAGAGCTCCCAAAGCAATATCCCATAAGACCAGACATCACTCTCAAAGGTGTAGACACAATTGAAAATACTTTCAGGTGCCATCCACTTCACAGGAAGACGGGCCTTTCCAGGGAAAAGGGAATAAATTAAGACAATAGGCATAAGGAATACAAAATTTACAATACAAAATTAAGCTTTTCTACCTCTTACATGCTTTAAATGCTCATTAAATCAAGAAATCCAACCAATCTCAAGTATCCAACCAAAAACTGAAATCTCAGCAGTTTAGAGTCTCCAAGCGCTGCATGGTTATTGATCCATCTTTCTGCTAATCTACCAAACTCCTCCAGCTCCTTGCGCTCTCATTTTCTGTATACTGCATGATTCCTCCTGTCTTGTATGCAAAAGATGGCAGGAAGCCAGAGCAAAATAATATATATGACCATAGCATGGTTCCTTATGCAAACATGGAAGTCCACTTCCATAGACTGGTTACCATAGGCACACAGGTAAGATTAACCTAGTCAAGATGCTTCAGGCTTTAATAAACAGTTAAGACACCTGCTTTAGATCCTCAGTGTATCAGAAAATCACTAAATGAATATATATTGACACATATTTTGGGTGGGAGTGTTGATCTGCTGAAGGATAGGAAGGCTCTGCAGAGGGATCTGGAGAGGCTACATTGATGGACTGACGCCAACTGTGTGAGGTTCAACCAGGCAAAGTGCAGGGTCCTGCACTGGGGCCACGACAACCCCACACAACACTACAGGCCTGGGGAAAAGTGGCTGGAAAGCTGCTCAGCAGTAAAGGACCTGGGGGTGCTGACTGACGGCTGCTGAACATGATCCAGCTTGTGCCCAGGCAGCCAAGAAGGCCAGCAGCATCCTGGCCTGTATCAGCAATAGTGTAGCCAGCAGGGCCAGGGCAGTGATTATCCCCCTGTACTGGGCACCAGTGAGGTTGCACCTTGAATCCTGTGGTCAGCTCTGGGCCGCTCACTACAAGAGAGACATTGAGGGGCTAGAGCGGGTCCAGAGAAGGGCAACAAAGCTGATGAAGGGTCTGGAGCACAAGCCCGATAAGGAACAGCTGAGGAAACAGAGGTTGTTTAGTCTGGAGAAAAGGAAGCTCTGGGGGGACCTTATCAATCTCTGCAACCACCTGAAAGAGGTTGTAATCAGGTGGGGGTCAGTCTCTCCTCCCAAGTTAACAAGCAACACGACAGGAGGAAATGGGCCCAAGTTGTGACAGGAGAGGCTTGGACTGGGTATTAGGAAAACTTTCTTCATTGATGAAAGGGTTGACAAGCACTGGAACAGGCTGCCCTGGGAAGCGATGGAGTCACCATCCCTGGAGGTGTTTAAAACATGTTCAGATGTGACACTTAGAGACATGGTTTACTTGTGACCCTGACAGTGCTGGGTTTATGATTTGACTCAGTGATCTTAAAGATCTTTTCTAACCTAAAAAATTCTATGATTCTATGATTTTTCATAAATTTGTGTGGGGACAGACATCCCTTGGGAATGCCAACTGAAGCAGAGGAAAGGGCGCAGAAAGCCCTTTCTGTAGGAACCGGTCAGGCTTCTATCCTAAGCATTTGTCCTACTGTGGGAGAAACCTGTTAAGTGGTCTTGCAACGATACGTCAAAAGTTACATTTCAGCCATACTATTGAGATGAATTTGCCATGGGCTGCCTCACCAGACAGTCAACCAGAGTTGTTTATTTCCTGAACAACACAGACAGCAAACACTCTTCCTGGGCAAGCCCCCAGCTGCTGTCATCAGCATTGCCTCCCAGCAGTATCGACAACCGGCAATGCCCCAGCACTCCTCATCTGCTTTAAGATCAGGCCAGATGCAACTGGATGCCTCCTGCAGCCACTGCTTCCTCTCTCCCTCCCCAGGCAGCTGCAGCCTATCCTCCTCTGACCCTTTCAGGCTATGGAATCAAAGAAAACCATGGCTTTTTGCCTCCCACTATGCCCTAATCAATAAATTCACACTTCAGAATCCAGTTTCCATTGTCTGAGTGATGTGTTACAGCACAGAAGAGGATGCAAGCCCCAGATATATAGGTATTTTAAAAATGAACCATTTCAGTAATGCACAAACGTAGTAATGCCAAGAGAAAACAAGTTTCAAAATAATTATATTGAAGATTGGGCTACCAGCATATTCTAATGGCAAAACTTAGAATTATTCACACAGCTATAACTTTCAGTACATTCAGATGTACCAGAAAGACTTGGCGTTATATTGGTGCAACAAATCCTCTCCTCCACTACAACAAGCATTTAGACACCAGCATGTTTTTTTCCAGTATAACAACACACACATACCAAGGGTTTTGTCAGCACACACATCTACATCAGGAATTGCCCCTGCTAACATTTCTGACCAGCATGGATATATACCAGAATTCGGAAATCTAGATTTCCATGTAAGAAAGACTTTTATTTGCATGTCAAGACAACAAGAACTCCCCAAACTTAAAACAGGTGGCTTAAGTATCATATATACTTACATTTCCCTTGACCACATAATTGGAGTCATTCCTTATGTCTCTTGCCAGGCCAAAGTCACAGATTTTTGTTATTCGACCATGAGTTAGAAGAATATTTCTTGCAGCCAAATCCCTGTGAATGCACTAAATAACAAACAAACAAAGCTATTTTATAACATCTCAACAGGCTGTTGCTTGGGTTATATGTACACTCATCTATTCGACTTACTGCATTATACATTTTATGGTAAGCTGAAAGTCATAACGAAGCCATGTGACAATAAGCTTACTCAGATGATTAAACATTCTGGTGTAGTAAGTATCTTTACTATCATGACATTGATCCACATAGCTAAGGTTGTCCATGCATTTATTTTAGAAAAGAGCATTTGCAGTCACTTTCAGTTTTCTACTGTTTCACATTTGCAGCTCAAGTTTCATATACTTCTTCTTTGACATTTTATCAAGAATAATCACTGCCTTGTTTCCTAACACTGGACAAATAAGGGGAAAATGTGTTTTTTTTTTCTAAAATAATTCCAGTCTTCCATTAATAACTATTGTGGTTGAGGGAAAAGTGCTAAAAAGATGAAAATAGGGAAAATTATGGTAGTAACTCAAAGCCAACAGCTTGGAAACTGAATCCCATTTCAGAAATACTCCTCTGGAAGATCTGAATTATTAAGTACCTATGAGATCTTTATAAGCAGACCTAAGCATTTGAAAATACCGTAAATTTTCACATGCCAGTATCTTTCAGTGTATAGTCATGTGTTCAGTGACCTTGCTAACTTATATTTCCATTTTCTGGAATACATTTCCCAAGCTCCAGATGGGTGCTTGAGTTTTCCATGAGTTGTGTTCCTTTGTATGCAGCTGTGGAAGCCATGTGCATTTGTTAAGAGAACGGAGGCAGGTCCCTAACAAAATTATCTCTTTTTCCATCTGGAAAGGCGAGTGTTAAGCTCCTGATGGTATATAGCATGCAGGCAAAAGCTGCCTAGAGAATACCTGAAGATGGTTCAATTTTTCTTTTTTCCTTGAAATATGAAACTTCAGGAATTCCCTACAAAAAATTACTTAAAATATCAAGAGTTATGCAAATCGAACTCAGAAAATAACTGCAGGTTGCATAAACCCCTTAATCTCTGCCCCTTCTGCAGGCTTACACGAGGAACTATTTTTTATGACAGTTATTGTCTCAGGGGACTCTCATTCACCTCCCAGTCCAACATATTCTGCACTTTGTATATGTAAAGGTGAGAGCATAACTGCACTGTAGCAGTAAAGTGAAGGAATGGTCAAGCATCCAGCATGTCTCTGCCTTGTTCAGTTTGCCCTGAATAAAGACTCTGTCTGTTGGAGGAAGCCCTGTCTTGTGATTAAGTCACCACATGCTTAATAAGGGAATTATTTCCCCATGACAGACTCTCATCCCAGCTCCTGCACAGAGGCACTTTTATGCGTCAGAGCCTTGATACACAAGCAAGTTGCAAAAGAGCAGCTGGGTACTCTGCGCTGCTGATCTGCATGGACCCTCCCTCCCTGAGGGTGTGAGGCAATCTGAGGCATCTTATCCATCAGCCCACACTACTCTGCATTTACTAGCTGGAGCTAGGAGTGTATATGTACGCTATGACTGAAGAGGTCCAAGCACAACAACGTGTTAGCACAGTGGAACTTAATTCTGTGATAAAGCTGTTTATTCTGCACTGCCAAAGCAATATTGCTCATTATTTCCCAACCTCAAGTTCAGGTGGTGTTACGTTCATTATTGCCTTTGCTACTCAATGCCACACTGTCTGTTTGTATCAATGGAAAAGCTATAGAGAAAAGAGTCCCCAGGAATGATGCATACCGAATTCTGGGGCTATTCTATAGGAAGAAGGAAGTGCAGCAGGAGGGCCAGGAGACTTCCTTGGATGGATAAGGAGCTCCTGAGGAAAATTCAAATGAAAAAAGAGGCTTATAATAAGTGGAAGCAAGGACAGGTGGCCTGGGAAGAGTACAGGGATGTTGCCCGGGAAGCTAGGGACCAGGTTAGGAAAGCTAAGGCCCAGTTAGAATTAAACTTGGCTAGAGGTATTAAGGATAACAGGAAGGGATTCTACAGGTACATAGCAAATAAAAAACAGACTAGGGAGAATGTAGGCTCCCTCAGGAAGCTCTTGGGAGAACTGGCTACACAGGATTTGGAGAAGGCTGAGGTTCTGAATGACTTCTTTGCCTCGTTCTTCACTGGCAAAGGCTCTGACCACACCACCCAAGTCTTGGAAGGCAGATGCAGGGACTGTGAGAATGAAGACCTTGCGCCCACTGTAGGAGAGGAACTGGTTTGAGACCATCTTAAAAATCTGAACATGCACAAGTCCGTGGGTCCTGATGAGATCCATCGGCAGGTCCTGAAGAGGAGCTGAGTGCAAATGAAGTTGTAAGCCACTGTCCATCATATTTGAGAAATCATGGCAGTCAGGTGAAGTTCCCGATGACTGGAAAAAGGGAAATATAACCCCCATTTTCAAGAAGGGGAAAAATGGATGACCCAGGGAATTACAGACCAGTCAGTCTCACCTCTGTGCCTGGCAAAATCTTGGAGCAGATTCTCCTGGATGGCATGCTAAGGTACATGAAAATCAACAAGGTGCTTGGTGACAGCCAGCATGGCTTCACTAAGGGGAAATCCTGCCTGACCAATTTGGTGGCCTTCTGTGATGGGGCTACAGAACTGATGGACAGGGGTAGAGCAGCTGATGTCGTCTACCTGGACTTGTGTAAAGCATTCAACACTGTCCCACATGACATCCTTGTCTCTAAATTGGAGAGACATCAATTTGATGGATGGACCACTCGGTGGATAAAGAACTGGCTGGATGGCCGCACACAAAGAGTTGTGATCAATGGCTCAATGTCCGGCTGGAGACCAGTAACGAGTGGTGTCCCTCAGGGATCGGTGTTGGTACCGCTCTTGTTCAACATCTTCGTCACTGACATGGACAGTGGGATTGAGTGCGCCCTCAGCAAGTTTGCCAATGACACCAAGCTGTGTGGTTCGGTTGATACGCTGCAGGGAAGGAATGCCATCCAGAGGGACCTCGACACGCTTGTGAGGTGGGCTGATGCCAACCTCATGAAGTTTAACCATGCCAAGTGCAAGGTCCTACACCTGGGTCGGAGCAATCCCAGGCACAGCTACAGGTTGGGCAGGGAAGAGATTCAGAGCAGCCCTAAAGAGAAGGACTTGGGGGTGTTGGTGATGAGAAAATGAACATGAGCCAGCTTCAGTGTGCGCATGCAGCCCAGAAAGCCAACCGTATCCTGGGCTGCATCAAAAGCAGCGTGACCAGCAGGTCGAAGGAGGTGATCCTGCCCCTCTACTCTGCTCTCATGAGACCTCAGCTGGAGTATTGTGTGCAGTTCTGGTGTCCTCAACATCAAAAGGACACGGAACTGTTGGAACAAGTCCAGAGAAGGGCCACAAGAATGATCGGGGGCTGGAGCACCTCCCGTATGAAGATGATAGGCTGAGAAAGTTGGGGCTGTTAAGCCTGGAGAAGAGAAGGCTGCGTGGAGACCTCATAGCAGCCTTCCAGTATCTGAAGGGGGCCTATAGGGATGCTGGAGAGGGACTCTTCATTAGAGACTGTAGTGACAGGACGAGGGGTAACGGGTTAAAACTTAAACAGGGGAAGTTTAGGTTGGATATAAGGAGGAAATTCTTTCCTGTTAGGGTGGTGAGGCACTGGAATGGGTTGCCCAGGGAGGTTGTGAATGCTCCATCCCTGCCACTGTTCAAGACCAGGTTGGACGAGGCCTTGGGTGATATGATTTAGCGTGAGGTGTCCCTGCCCATGGCAGGGGGGTTGGAACTAGATGATCTAAAGTTCCTTTCCAACCCTAACGATTCTATGATTCTATGATTCTAAGATAAGAACAAATAAAGAATATGTGTGCTAAGCAGTGGATGTCCTGCATACTGAAGGACAGAGGAGCCTGACGAAAACCATTAAAATCTGTAATATGAGTTTGCCTGTAGGCCTGTTTTGAAGCTGTTAATAGGTGAAAATTAAACCAAAGGGTTTGGAAGGAGGAACAGTAGGGGGAAAAACAAGTCCAAAAGCAAGTTTTAATGGGGACTTCCTCTGGAGCAGAATTAGACCCACATTTTCCACTGTTAACACAGGATCCTAGAATTATATTATTTTTGTCAAACTGCATGTTTGGTTTTGCTCTTTATCCTAGGTGCAACTGTATTACCCTGTGTCTCCATTAGTTACAGTGTTTATACGTTGAATGGCATTTTTCCAATATAATGTAAGAACAACCACTAGAACAAAACAACTATGCTGTGCTTAAATCCCTTTCTGTTCTGCAATACCTCCCCTATGAAACCCAAAGAAATGCCTATTATGTTCAGTGTAGCCTGTGAAGATTCTTTGTGGGTCTCTAGGCTGGTTTTATCTTTCCAGAAATTAAAAACCAAGATATATCCTGTACATTTCACCATACTGCTAAAAAAAAACCAAAAAGCACACAGTGTGATACCTCTCCTGTTTAAGGAAGTATTCTGCATGAGAGGAGTAGCAAGTGCAGTGCTGTTTAGAACTAATGCAGACAGTTGCAAAACTGTCTCCATAGAGTTGTTTATTGTGTAAATTCTCCAGCAGAGAATGAATCTTAAACTCTCAAGATTTAATTGCTCTTCTGAAGGAGTCCACACGTTGGGTTTCCATTTTTTTCCTGAATTCCCTTTAATTCCCATACACCAAAGAAGACTGAAGAAATAACTCCTTAAGGTTTCCATTCACTGCCTCCAAAGTCATCAGGAGTTTTGCGTGCTCCAGGAAAGAAGGAAGGGCTGGAGATGAAACTCGTAAAAGGCACCAACCCAGTTCAGCAGGGTTCAGCTGTACCTGCCATCTCCCAGCACGTGACATGATTAATCAGTGGAGTCTTGGGGTGCAGCAAACATACTACACTACAATTCCTACCTTCTGTCTCTTCTCTTGACATTTCTGTGACTAGTTTCTGTTCATGAGCAAGGCCACCGATTGTACTAGCCTGAACCGTGGATGTCCAATAGCATTGCTTGACATTGACTACTGTGCACCCTGTATTCTGTTTTATGGGATATAAACCTCCACTTTCAGCCAATGAGCACAGTACAGAACTCCAACACTAGCCAAAGCCGTAGGTACATGAAAGAGCATGTCAGTTTGCAGTGCTTGTTGAAAAGAACACAGAAATATTGAGCATTTAAACACACGGATCACATTAAAACACTGAAAGTGATGCTAGAGGACATCAGAAATCTACTGGTTCAGTCCAGCTCTGAAAAATTCTTAACTTACATTTTTGGAGGCAAGGAAGCTCATGCCCTTTGCCACCTGGTAAGAAAAGCTTAGCAAATCTTCAACATCTAGAGCAAGTTCATCATCTTCTGACACAGAAAGAGTAACATCCTTATCAGTGTAGGATCCTAGACAATATAAACAACAGCTTTTGAGTGGAGCAAGTGTAATGATTTAGAAACAGAGTTGTCTTAATGTTAAATAAAACAGTGATCTAAATAAGTACCAGACTAGAGTCACATAAATAGCCTATCATCAAAAAGCAGAAAATAATTCTGATACTCCATTTAAATGTGGAGAAACACAAGACACTGTAATTCAGCACACTGTTCTTTCTCAAGCCTTCTCATATCAATTAATGAGTTTTAATTGTCCTTGTCTGTGAGAGAAAAGTCTGATAAAACTGAAAAAATCCATGAAGCCCCTCTCTCGGCATGCCCACAGGCAAAAAGAGAATTCCTTATCAGTGTACTTACCAGACTTCGCTGGTCTTTTTTTATCAGGTTTTGGTGGGACTGCGTATGACACTCCTGGTTTCATGTCCATGTACTCATTGGCAACATCACTGTAGAGGCAGGAGATGAAATGAAACATAGTTTAGTGAAAAAGGTCCCAAAAGGCATTCAAACAAAAAGCCAAGGTTACTCCAACCTTCTGAATATAATGCTTTACAAACAATCGGTAGATTGGAAACTCGTGGGTGTGTAAAAAAGATGCGGAAAGGCCTGTACAGTTTCTCAGTATAGCTAATGATACATCTCAAAGTTTGGAGTTTGGCTCAGGTGAGCAAACAAAACCTTTCGTACATACACTGTTTATACAGACTTCACTCTCTATAAATTAACATCCAGATGTTTCACAGGATTTGCTAGTGCTTCCTTCTTCTGCTTAGGCCAATTTCTACCAGAATATTTCAGCAACTCAAGTGGCAATTGAAATGCAGAAGACAAATGGTAAAAAATGTTAAATTCAGAGATCCTCAAGTACCATAGAGGATCCACATATATTTTGAAGAAGTCGAGGCTTGGGACAGCCATCTGCTACATTTTTTTAAGTTTTCTTACTTCTATATATAATTCAAATGTACAGATTTTCATCCTATATGGTTTATAAATACACAGTTGGGCACCTTTAGAAATTATGGATGTACTTTGGAATTTTTCACTTCATTGCCATTAGAACTCATACACATAGCCCTTCCTTAGCCTGAAATATCTGTTTAGTTTATGAACAATAAATGCAGCCACAGAGCTAACATGGAAAGGAGTAATGAGATTACCAATAGTTTCAGTCACCACCAGAAACACATCTGATCCATTTAGCAGCTGCAACTTTACAGTAAATACTAATATGAGAATTTGGTAAATACTCTGCTGTTTATACCTCAACTTGCAAATTGGCTCAGTGAGGTTCTTTCACTGAAAAGAGGACACACCTCCAATGGCAACTCACAGCTTTATATTCATCACCTCAATAGTCCCAACCTCTCTGGGTCATTACCAGCCATCCATGGCACAAACAGCTTCATCAGTACTACAGCTTAATGGGACAAAGGACTTTACCACCTCTTAAGGGTCTGCCTAGTTCTTTTGTGTCTGCCAAAACAAAGCAATGGTCCCACTGGGGTAATAAACAGGCTAAAAATAAAAATGGGCAGGTATTGCAACAGCCCCTCAGTTTTGGCAAATTATATCTCCCCTCACTTTGCAAAGGGAAGGAGTGAGCAGGAAATCTGCTTGGAAACGTACTTGGAAAGAGCTCTGGGCTGGTATCTAAAACTGAGTGTTAAAAATACACAGATGAAGTAAATGGAAAAAAAAACAAAGTACAAGAGCAATCTCAGAATCGTGACACAGACCGTGTCAACGCAAAATCTAGTGAGCTGTATTGGTGGCAGCTTGCCTCTAATACTGTAATGGGCTGATTTTGTAAGAAGTCATTTCTGAAGGCAGGGACTTAGGAGAACTCAGAGTATTAACACCCCAACACTGGGGGAATTGTCATTCAAGCTGCTAAATGAGCACTGCCAATGTTTAACAGGAACGATAAACACAAATACTTACAAAGACTGGAGCCAAGGAGTTGCATGAAATAACTACAGGAAATGTGATAAAGTAAAACAGAGAGTGTGTACAATCAATCGTGCTCTGTTAGAATAAACCACCCACTGTACAAATCGTCTCTTTAATTAAATTGTTTCCTTGCCCAGCAAAGATTCTTCAAAGCCAGCTGCATGGAAGGTTTCTCCACATCTCTTACCCCTAATAAACTTTGTTATCATCTCCTCCTTCTCAATCTTCTAAAAACACAAGGACATTTCAGCAGATCATACTTACGCTGCAGGCTCTGCCTGATGCAAAAGGTTCTCGTAAACTGCTGTTTCTGTGTGTTCTTCATGTTTTGGACAAATAAATGAATCTCGTTTCCGTCTCAGAAAATTTAAAAGATCACCATAGCAGCAATATTCTGTGATGACTAGAGTGGGACCTGCAGATGCACATGAGGTTTAGAAAGTAGGTGAGTATTGTTTCTAAAGCAGAAAGCCTTACATAAAGATATCATTCAGCCAAGTGCACAAGCTGGGTTATTAAAAATCACACTGCCTAGCACTGTCTAGACTTGAGAAGTTACAGAAAAGTAACACAGCATCTTCTTCTTTCACCGATCAGCAACTATGGTCCAGCTAAAGCTGCGTTGCTCCCAATTAATTTGCCTCCACCCCCCTTCAATAGCATTGCATTGTACAAAGATTAAACAAATAAGGTCTTTTTCTCTTTCTTCATGTGATAATGTTTCTGGCCAGACACATCTGTCTGATTTTGCTCACTTCCTGACGGAAGTTATTTGTTCCAAACGTTAGAGTAATTCAAGCTTCATACATTAATCCTTTTGATTCACTTCTGTTTACAGTAGAGCTTCACACTCCTTCAGTAATGTTTTGGAAATGATGTAGGGTGTTATATTCTGCAGTATAATAGGAAAAAATCATTCAAACAGAACAGCCTGCTGTGACAGAAAGCTACATTGCACAAGGTCTTAGAATATTAAAATGAAATCAGAAAGGAGAATCAAGTCATCTCCAGCACGGATGTTTATAGATCAAATATATGTTTTCTGAGTGAATGACTCCAGCTATAGCCCTTGAATGCGTAATTGCACTGCGTGTTATTTCATCTGTAAGGTTATTCTCCACCACCGTTTCCTAACCTCACTAGTTTATTTCCATTTTTCTGCAGTTAAAAATTACAGCTTTCATAGTAGCAAATGCAGTGTTTGTGGTGTGATTTTCTTACAGATGATGTGTATTTTCATCTAAGACAGACACACACTCAGGCCAGTGAGTCTACTTTGTCATCTGCTTAAACAAAATTGTTTCATCCTACTTTTAAATCATTAAATGTGAAAGTGAGAAATGTTTTGCTTCTGTCTAAATCTGTGAATTTTTAGAAGCTCCTCTTCTTTGAAAAATGAAGCAAAAACTTAAAAAGCAAATATTTGTGTAAGAAGCAACACCATCTTTCACATTAAAATGCACATAAATTAAAAATACAGGACTGTATCACTCTGTATTGACATTTCAGCTGTTTTGTAGCTTTTACTATGTATGAAAACAAACTTTTAAAGTTAACATGAAATGTGACACCTTTGTGTTGTGCAATAGTTTATTTAGAAGAGTCTTTTTCTCAACTTTCTGCTGCTTAGAATTTGTAATTTCAGTGGTGCCTTAATAGACACATTTACAGCTCTAACAGAAGGCTAGAAGACTATACAAGACAGGCCTGTTGACTTCACCTTGGATACCAACAAGGAACCAGCTCACGTATCTCTTCTCATTTGTGAGAAACAGTGTGCTTAAGGAAGAAACTTATGCCATGCATTTTTGCATCTTCTTCTTTCAAGAAGAAAGCACAGAGTGGCTCACACGAAAGACAGTAACAGCAACCTTCCCGTTTAGCTGAGCTACAGTGGTCTCGTTACTGGTTTCAGGATGAGCCTAAAATGTAGGTTCAGTAATTCACAGGTGATAGTCATGATGACCTGCGATCTGCCTAAACAAGAAATGTATTTAAGATTCCTAGACTTGGCAGCACTGGATTCTTCTTCACAGGGTTCCTCCTTCTGGCAGTAAAAGAAGGAACAGAAATAATCAATAATCTGCTGATAATCCCACCTCCAATAGTGCAAGCTCCAAGTAGATTCACAATATTAATGTGGTTTCCAAGGTAACTCAGCACTTTAAGCTCTGACATCAAAGCCTCTCTTTCTGTTAAATGGGCACTTGCTGCAAGACAAAGCACAACATTCAGTATGTAACACACTGACCACAACGAAGTGAGAAAAATTGTACAGTATATTAAAGCAACTTACTTTTCAACATCTTTACTGCTACTGTCATAGCAGCATCAGATTTAAACAGACCATAAGCAGTGGCTTCAACAACTTTTCCAAAAGCTCCAGCACCAAGGGTTTTACCTAATAAAGAAAAAAAAAAAAACAAACAAACCTCTGTAACAACTTGGAGCACTTCTTCTTGAAGGGTTCAATATTTCATCTTGATATCAAGGAAGCTATTGTAGATATGCATGCTTGCTTTTTGTCCCAAGGTAAGTATGAGCAATTATCACTATCTGCGCTATTGCAGGTCTTTTTGACACAACCCTCCTGTGTTTGACCAAAGTCTCATATGAGGCATGAAGTTTTCACCTTGCAGATGAAGTTAAATAAATCTAAACTAACCAAAACTCAATCGGTTTCTAGGAAATTCCCATTTGTGATCATAAGGAAGTTGCGTTGGGTCTATGTAAACATAGTTGTTTCCATTTATTTCTTCAACAACTTTCCACTGAACTTCATATTTGGGTTTCTGGAAAAGAAGGAGAATAGCTGTCACTCCTGAAGCCTCCACAGGCAGCTCACACACTTTCCTAACTCAGGCAGAGGGGCTTCTAGTCTTACCTGCAAATATATGTACACCAGAATCACGACTATGATGCACATCAGTCCTGCAGCAACTCCAAATGCAATTAGTAAAGGGGTGAAAAGGGTATGGGTACGGATTTGTTCTGGAAAGAAACAGAAAATTCTGCTTCAGTACTAAAAAACTGTATTAAAAAGATGCAGGTGAAAACCTTTCCTTGGTTCTTCCTTGTGAAACATGATTTGGGTTTTTGACTTTCCTGGATGTGCTCCAGATACACCAGAATAGCTTTCCTGAATGAGCTGTGGGGGACAGAGATGGCACAGAAACTATCCAGTTAGTTGCATAAGGAGTCTCAGCTTCAACAATCAGGAGGCACGACTGATTAATGCAACAGACTTGCGTGATCTCAGTCAAGTTAGGTTAAAGAAAGCTTTTTTTTGAAGTCCTAATTTCTTCTCTTTTTTTTTTCTCCCAGGTATGATCTCTACAGCACAGTCTTTACGCATAGAGGTTGTGACAAGTAGTGAAGGACTACCATTCCAGTAAAATCAACCTGCCCCAAATCTGGTTTATTTGTTTATTGTTATATCTGCGTGTAACAGAGAAAAAAGAAGCAGAAGAACATTTGATCCTGCAAAGGGCACAGATTTACAAGCACATTTCAAGTCATCTATGTTCTAGTACTTTTTTTCCCCCCACAAATGCTTCTACAAAACTCGTAAGTCCTTTTGCAGGATGTTGTTACTTCTTCTACAGCAGCAGGGCCCTTAGTCTCCAGGGAAGTTCCGGACTGCATTTTTCTTGAGACATTGTAAAAACACTTAGAAATCCTGAGACATTGTAAAAAAATTTAGAACCCTTGGAAAAGAAGTGATGGACTAAACAGTCAAAACAGACAACAGGAAGAGGGAGGGAGAGAGGGAAAGACAGTTTAATGCTGTAGGTGGTTTGCCCCTGTGCTGCACAGACAGAAGAAACCAGCTACCTACCGTGCTGCTTATCTGGAGCCATAAAAAGATGATACCATAATATTAATTGAAAAACTTAGACTGAAAAAAGAAACATTTTGACAGGCAGTGCATGCAGTGTAATACGTCATCATATGATCAGCCACAGTACTGCAAACTTCTTTATGGCAAAGGTAAAGAACTTAAAATCCTCTTACAGAAAGAGCTGAATGGCACCCATGTTTTATGGTCTCATTCGTTCCAGCCGTTACCTTTAATAGCAAAGTTGAAAAAAGCAGAGCTCTTGTCCCCATTGCTAGAGGCCTCACAGCACACAGTGCCAGTGCTCCTGAACATGCTGGCGTTAATGGTGCTTTCAACCAGGATTCGTTCAAACGATGGCACTGACGAATTTGTGTAACTGACGTTCATGGGGGATATTGCTGGTGAATCAAAACACCTAAGAGAAACAATACTGACAGTTACCTGTCACGCAATGGATGACAGATCCTGCTGTTGAGGCAGATAGTCACTGCCAGAGCATCAGGTAACTGAACAACACTGCTCTACACAGGGGTTCAGCTGACCATCTTATCTTCGAAACTTAGCCTTCTCATGATGTCTCACTGTCTTCTATATAGTGGGTGAAATGGATATGTACATCAAGCCTGACCGAACTGGACACCATGAGGTCTTTGCGTTTGCTTTTGGCTAGATACCTACAGGTCTGTAAGTCCACTAAGGGTTATGTACCATTCAAACTGTATCTCCAACTTCACCTCCAAGCAGTTGTGCTCTATTATCTACTCTTGAAAACTTTCCCCAAACATAATTTTATTACAGCACACAAAAAAATATTCCATAATGTACACACAGTACCATCAGGCTTATATGCAGCCAGAAAATAACCAGTACTGCTCTCTCAAGATTCTGCCTCTCTTTCATATGTTACATACTACATGAGGACACGGTTAAGACAACAAGAGAAAAAAGTACTATTTAAAAAAAAAAAATCAACAAAATAACAATTATTTTAGGCACAAATCTAATTACACAGGTGAGACTGCGTACTTGACTTGCTAGTACAATATCCACAGTGGAATTCAACCAAAACCTTAAAATGTGCTTCAGAAATGCTCACTTCACAATGAAACTCTACAGTCTTTTTAGAAGTCTGGTATCTACACATCAGGTTATATTCATAATAACTTCACTCTTGTTTACTTGTCATATACTTCGTGTGAATAGAAATCTAATTACTTTATGTCTTGAAAAATTATATCATTGCACAATAAATAGAAGATAACAGCCATATTTGCAAGTGATTCTGTGACTGTCATCCTGTGAAACTGCATACAGAATGTGTCATCTGGGCCAAACTGATGCAAATCTTAGCTAGCTTGCAGCAGAGAGAGAGTTTGGCTTTTACTTGTCTGTGGTAGAAAGCACTGATTATTCCCCTTTAAAGGACGGCAAGCAAAGGAGAATAATGAAACGTATCCCTGCCTTCTCTCAAACCACTGCAAATAATGCAATGCCAAAATGATGAAAAAAGTGATGTAACATTTGAATGTGTTATCAAGTCATTTTATGTTCTTAATTTTTAATTATAAATGGGTGTGTTGCATCTAGAATAACCTTTGGAGAACAACCTGGTTTACTTAACTCACCTCTGCTCAGTTCCTGGGCAAAAATACCAGTATATGGTTGGGGCTGGGAATCCAGCTGCTATGCACTGGAGAATACCATTGCTAAGCATATCCAAAGTGAGAATCTCAGGTTTTGCTGCAATAAACAAAAATGGAGGTCACACATTAGGCGTACACAGAATCTGCACTGACATTTACATTTCACCCCAGCAACTTGGGTGCATCATTATCTGTGGAATTACTTAGGTGAACAGAGCTTCGCATGCTCAAGCGTGTCCAGGTCTGAATCGGTGTCCTGCAAGCACTGACCATCTGTGAAAATATCAGATCTTACACTGAACGCTTGGGTTGGATTTTGGAAGAATACCTAACTCCACTGAGTGTTTGGTTTGATGAAAGATCCTAAACCAGCAAAGCCCAGAGCTTAAACAACCAAAGAACAACAGTGCAGTTCCCGTTCCTGCACAGTATGACTTTACCTGCCTGTAAAAAGGACAGTTTCTTCACAGTTACAAGCATACTAAATCTGTCAAACCACATCTCTCTTACATCTGCCCTGTGTATTAAATACTACACCACAAACAGAAAAGGAACTACAGTGCAACCAGCGTAGACCTCCCAGTCCCCACAGAGGACATACGTCCCTCTAAGATACCGCTACCAAAGTGCCCAACTGCCTGACTCTCCCACACACTGCACAGAGAGGAAGCTAGTATTTAGCTGAACATATTAGCTTTACAAATGATAATTCATGATTACTTTGGTAGTTTAGAAAGCAATCCAGCCAGCCAATGTTTCCTGCTACATCCTGCACCAGAGCTAGTCCTGCACTTGGGTCAGGAGCTGCTGTTTCAAGTACAGCAGGAAATTAGAATGATCAAATGGACTTCAGAGTCCATTGTCATAGCCTTCAGCAAAGGGCATTGCCAACACAACAAGCTGTTTTTCTCAGCGAAACTTGAATCAAAGGCCTTATTTTCCGCAATATTACCTTAGCTTCCTTGCAAAATCACCCAAAAAGAAGTTAATGGAGAAACCAGACTATATTGCAATGACACTGTTCAGTTGACAGGTACAAGATTGCAAGTCTATTATCAGTTAACACAACTTTACAGGAATGTAAGATGAACTTCTAACATTCTAGAAAATAGTAAAGCTGCACAGAACACAGTAGGAAAACATGAGTTTATTTCTGATAAAATCCACGTACAAAGACTGCACAGCGTTAGTTTTTAATGAGTATTCTACTTGCTGATTAAATTAGAGGTAATAAAGCACACATATATTCTCAATCACATAGCATATCCTCATGACTCATGTTACAGGAACGAAATGTTCTTTCATTTCTAAATCTGCATGTTGTGTTTTATGCAAACTACCAAGAGCCAAACATTGTTGCAAAATGTTGAGACGGATTTTCAGCATTACCCATTTGGTGAGGAACTTTCCGAGAGCACACAGCATTTCACCCAGTCTCAGTGCTCTTGGAATACACATAATTCACATTTCTGAAACTGGCTGGATTGCAAAATTGTAATTAGATCATCACTGCCCACATTCAATTTGTTTAGGTATATGCTACATTTTAGGCAATGCTGTAACACAATGTAACTCAAGAAACGAGAGAAATTAAAAGTCAAATATAAGAGGAATAAGAACGTTAAGCCACAAAAAAAAAATATCATGCTAGAGTTGGGCTCCCATCTTCTACCAGAGATCTACCATCTTCTGACTTTGAGTGAAACAAAAACGCCCACATTAGTCAGGCTTCTTCTGGTGCAAAAACCTAGTGCAATAAAAGCTGGTCTATATGACCATAAGTCCATGTGGACTTATCCTGAAGCAGCAGAGGTGGATGTGAGGCCATGCAGGGATAATGCCTCTGGCAGCCCAGGCAGAGTGGTCCAGCCCTGGTGCCATGGGAAGCTGAGCTACAGCAGGCTGGTGAGAACAATGGACCCGAGAACACCACTACATGTGATGTGCCTGGTGAAACGCTGTGATGTGGTGATTAGCATGACCAGTCTCTCCCTACCAGCATGGAGGGTTCCCAAGCTTCCCTGGCACAGAGAAATTAAGGGATGCATTGCACTCTTGGCAGCAAAGAGCTCCTGCAGCCAGTACCCACAGGGACTGAGGCAGCGGCTACTGCCATCCCCCCGGGCTGTGCCATTTGCCACCTCAGGCCACACACATGTCACAGCACCTGCACCCCTTCCTGGCAGCTAGAGCATCTTACTCACCCACCAGCATAGATGCTCCAAGGGTGCTGGAGCAAAGGTGGACTGGCTTTTGCAAACAGATGCCAAGCTGTCACCAAGCATCTTCTTTTTAAAAGAGATTTTACTGTTCTAGATTTTATGACTTTCACTGCCTCGTTAACCCTGATATCAGCAGGCTGTTAATGACTAGACTTTGCTTACTGTTTTGGCTTTAACCCTTTAAATATTTAATGTTTCATTACATTGCTCAGTATATATGCATACTGCCATCCATAGTCAGCCATTAGGCGTCTTAAAACTTCTAATTTTATGAAGTTTATTAACTGCTTTTCAGCTTTTATTAATGATTCTGAATGTATCAAAAGCCACTCCTACTTTAATTCAGGGCTCTGTATGACAACGTTGTGCATTTAATTGCTTTCTATTACCAATTTCCTTTTCTTCATTGTTAACAAAGTGAATGGCTAAGAAGTAACACTGAATAAGCATTGTCATCACAGACAAAGAGACAGGGCTTTCCTCCTGCAGCTACATTTTCTAGATGGGAACAAATCTTTCTGTAGTATCATGGTGACTCCTGATTTGTTCACTGCATAGTCTAGTGACAGGAAAAACCACTGAGCTTGGTTTCACGTGATCTGTAATATCAGTTTTCTCTTTGCAGCATGAGCAACTGCATAGATAATATTTTGCTGACTATAATTAAGCTCAGATATTATCTTGCATTAAACTCAGATATTAGTTGGAAGATTCTTCTTCCAGTTGGTAGATGCACTGTATTTTGCCACTCTGGAGATTTCTACAAATTCTTAATTGTAACTCCATTCAGCATGCTACTTGTCAAGCTGTAATTTTCCATTGGCTCATAATTTCAGAGCTCCTTTCTTCCTTACTTTATTTAACATTTACTATAAATTACTACTTTTTTTAAAGCAATTTTGTATTGTTTCAGATTAGCATATGCAATTGCTAAATGTGTTTAAATCCAAGGCAAGAATTTCTGCACTGGGTTCTTTCAGCAAATGCCTCAGCATTGCTTTTTGTTTATGTGAAGACACTCTCCTGATTACGAATCCTGTTTTACCTGTTTGATTACTTTCTGCTGATTACTTGCCCAAGACATGTAAACATCACAAGCTATATCCCAGCAATTTATGCGAAATCCCCACTGACAACACTGCCAGGTCAGGATGAACCATTAGATCAGGATCTGACCCACCACACATGGCTGACCTTTGGCAGTTACTCTGTTATGTCAGATAATATGGCATGCTGTCATGCAGCTTTTATTTCAAACCTAAATGATGAACATTTTATAAACCACTAAACCCAGGTTATTTTTCTTAAAAACAGCCCCCTAAAAGGATCAATCTATTTTATTTCTTCCTTTCAAAATGAAAAAATATTTGCAGGAGCTTAGTCAAAACACCAAAAAAATCCCTCTTTTTGAGTCAAGTGTGTCAAATCCACCTGCTTCAGCAATGGCTGTAGTCCACCCAAAGCCACAGTGCATGGTGATGAGAACTCTGTGAGACTGCTTAAATGTGCTCACTGGTTCCCGAGATTGAACTCACTACTTACAAGGCCAGCAGCTGAAGCAAGAGGGAAGAAGTCTTGAATACTGATGTTTGTATGGACAAGCCAATCAGAAGAAACAAACTGTCTACCGTCCCCCTTGCCTTGAGCATCCTCGAGCTTCACCATGCTCTTCCTAGTCCGGTTTATTAAACAACATCTATAGGGGTTTTCAGCTTTCATTCAGTAGCACATTCCTGAAAAGTGGCAACATGGAGCACTGCACCAGGAACTGACACCTGATGATGACAAAACTGTGGGTTGGGTTTTTTCAGTTCTTGTGACCAGATTGCTCCCAAGCAGCCTGCAGAGCCTGGGACAGCTGGAAGGACCATAAACAGCCCCTCACTCCAAGCACTCGCATGATGCTGCAAGTCAAAAAACACCATCCAGCCTCATGTGAATCAGCAGTTCCACAGGCAACCTGCAATTTCTCACATTCCTTCCCAGAAATTAAATTCTGGCTCAACAATTTGCTCCACTAATCTGTAAAATAGTAAAATTATCCCTTGTGACTATAACCCACACTCATCCATTGAGACAAAGGATATCTGAAGTCATCAGAGCCCTCACCTCAAAAATCACAGCTGGGAAATAGAAAAGGCACAAGGATACAAATGACAACATTCACAGATGAAGTAAGAAATGCCATGTTCTGAAAGAAGCCCAGTTGACATTTCTATACCCAAACTATGGCATTGCTAACGGTGAAGCTACAAGTGATGACCTTCAGTGATAAATGAGAAGAATTCAGAAAATAGTATCGAGGATTTTGTGTGTCTGTGGAAGCCTCAACAGTCCTCTGCATAAACCTATGCCTGCAGGACACGTGGCTGCTAAAGCATAGCAGCAACACAGAACTCTATTTGCAGCACATTCACTCACTTTCTACACAGTTCCTCCTGCTGGGCTTGAAGGCATCATTGCCTACCTCACCCTAGTTTCTCCAGTTTGCATGCAGTCCCCTCCTAGTTTAATTTTCCTTAAGCCTGGCCTTTAGCAGCTGCCAATATTTGTCTGCTGAGAGCATGAAACACTCTTAACAGGATGGCTCTGGTAAGAAGGACAGGACTTCCTGAAGGTTTGATTGAATTAATTTTGACGTTTAGCTTCTGTCTTGAAGAACACTGTTTGGAACTGCGACTGATGCTCTTTTTTAACAACCATGTCCCAAAGATGACAGCACACGCATTTGTAAAGCTATGCGGATTTTTCTAAAACAATGGTGATCTATATTATTATACAAAACTATTTAGGTGCCAAAAGGCACAAGCGAATAATTCTCTTGACAAGCATTCAAACTCTGCATCCAACTCAAGCAAATTAAAGATGAATAATAGCTTAACTGTGCTGCCAAAAATGCAAATTATAATCCCTGTATATCTTGCTCCACCTTAAATTATCAAAGGTTTATGATACATGCTTATATTTGAGATCTTGTTTTCAGGTGCTGAAGTTTTTTTCCTGTATCTAGCTGCCCTCTGGTAACCTCTGGAATATGTTTGCTAGAATGTAAGGTCATGCTGTATAGTAGGTGGATTTGTGTAAGCACTCTGCACTTTTATATCTTGACATTTAAATAGTTTTCCAGCATGTGCTTTATTTCAGAAAGCCTTTCATATGCTGAACCACACTGTGACATCTTGTGCATACATTATGTTGTGTAAAATACAATGACTATGATAATGAAATATTTCAGACTGTTCATTTTACTTACTTTTTACATAGACATTAAATGTTACAGAGGAGCTGGCATCAGAATTGGACACAAAAAATGTGTAAATGCCTCCTTCTGTTCCTTTTAATCGGGTAAGGTGAAGTTCACTTGTATAACTGTAAAGAAAAAAACTAAGCATTACTGATGCTCACAACTTGCAGTGAACAGGCAATTGCTACACGGAAGCTGAGAAGTGAATCACTAGCACACTGTCTTCTGCAGACACTTTCCATGCAGACACTCTTACCTTGCATTACAACGGCTCTTGTGCTACAGTGTCCAGAAGTTCTGCCACTTCTAACACCCAGATTTGTACCCGGTGACAGCTCAGCATCAGGCTCAGACCTCATGCACCCACCACGGCCTCCTTTTCTTGCTGAGGGGGGAACCCAGGTACACAACCCAGGCCATAGGTGCTAGGTGTTTCACTGGATTTTTGGAGGACCATGGCTCAGAAGACTATAGTGCCCAGCAGAATTAAAAGCATAAGCTTTTGTCTAGAGCACTGGGTTCTGCTGTGGTAGTGGGCAAACTTTAAATTCTTGTTTTTTTCTTACTGGGCAGGATGGCATCTCATGGGCACACCAGCCCACAGATGGTGTGGTTAGCTCAATGCTATTCCAAGTCTAGGTTAGCAGACTTTGCACCAGTTACTGTGGTAAGCCATGCATACTACAACATCTTGTATAATCACAGTTTTCTCACCATCTCCACTTTCTTCTTTCCAGAGCAGACTCTTATGTTGCTATTCCAAAGTGAAATCTATAGCACTTAGTCACTCATATTACCTGTTACTGCTCACAGTCTTGAACTTGACATAATGGTCCGATGAATTCTGTAATGTTTCATTCATGTACATCCAGAGTTCTTCCTTCGGTTTTGGATATGCCTCGTATTCTACTGTTAAATTTCCATTTTGTCCTGCATTTATATCTATTGTGGTATTCATTGTTGCAAACAAACGGACAAATCCTTTAACTGACAGCCATAAGAAGAGAAGAAAAACATTTTTAGGGCCATGTAGAGGATTGTCAGTACACTAACCACACATAGACTACTTCAAGATCAGAGATCAAGCATCCAGATAACTGTGAAAGAGGAAACCTTATCTACAAAGCAGAACTTGAACCCTCACCTGTCAAAACCAAGGCCACCAGCTTTATATAGCAATGAGACACAGGACTTAAAGCAGTCTTGAGTTCCTTAACAGAAATAATTCCATCTTATGGTGACAAATACCCTCTTTTTGCTTTTGGAAAAAGGCAAGCACGTGTTTGACTACTCAAGTATTTATATTTTTCAAAAACTCAGAGTTGCTAACTCTGATATGAAAGAAACACTAAGAAAACAAGGTGAATTGATCATTTATGACAATATAGTAGAGCATTTGAGGTTTCTTTGTCAATTGTAATTAAGAACGACATCACGAATGGATCTATTAAAAACTGTAATTAGACACAAATGTGCTAAGTCCACAGGCCTGGATATGAATTGTCTTAAACTAAAGCATTTCTGTTCCATCTACTGCTGGGTCTTAGTTCAAGTCTTTTATTTGGCAAATACCATTTATCATTATGCAGTTCTGTTCCATAATATCATGTGGAGCAGCATCCTTACTGCAGTGTTTTTAATTTCATTAATAAACTCATCAGCTTCAGGATTATTCACTTTGAAAAGACACATTTTTCAGTCCCATTACACAAATTCATACAGGAATTATCAGTTTGACAGCCAGATTGCAATTACAAAAAAAACACATTTACTGAGAGAGCTTGAATTTAGATCAAAAGTCAATCTCGGATCGCTGCTTCTTCCCACTTTCTAGTAATCAAACTGCTGTGGCCAGCTGGGCACTTGAGCTCAGGAAAACCAGAGCCAGTGGGGCTTGGTGAAAGCATATGGAGCTGCCAGAGCACTTGACAGATGCTTTGAAGAAGAAAGGATGAAGTAAACTCACAGCAGGCAGGTATGCTCTAAAATGCTCCCCATCATTAGGGAAAAGATTTGTATCTGGAAACTGAAGTTTTTTAGTTAATTCATTTTTCTTCTATTTTCTGTATAAACCTAGATTATAAATTGGACCCAACAGTCTGCTAATAAAGTTTTATGATTGTGCTATCAGACCCCGAAACAAGGTTCTGAAAACTCTTTACAGTTAAATTAGCTACTAAAAAAAGTAATTAGGAAATTTACCAAAAATACCCATTATTTCCTGTAAACCTTTTGGCAAATGTTAAAGCCACAGTGATTCAGGATCTGATACAATCCCAGGATCTCTCCAGTACATGCCATACACTTCCCAGCACCCTGAGCACTGGCACAGTTCAGATAAATAGAGTCAGTTTGACAATGAATGGTGAAAAGCATCCAGAAGGTAGAGTTTATGTTTTTTTAAGTCAAATTTGAAAGGGTGGGAAAGAAAAGTACCTCGAAGAGGAAAGATTCCAGCTTTTCTCTGGCATTTTTTATTAAATACAAACTTTGCATTTTACTAAGCACAAGCTTGTTACTTTATTTTCTACTTTTTATAAGGCTGTGCTTTATTTAAGTTCCCAGACCTTAAGTCAACCCTTTTTAAAGACACATTTGCACATGCAGTCATAGTCCTAACAATTTCTGCAGTTAAAAACTTCCCTCCTCTTATAATAAAAGCTTTCATATTGTTCCCTTTGGGGAAAAGATTTTGTTTCATACTTCATGATGTTTTCCTGTTACATATGAATTTTGTCTCTCCTGTGAAAAAGTGAGGAAACATCTTCAACATTGAGCCCTACCCCCCTGAATGTCAGATCAAGGTTAAGGACACTCAAACCACTGCTGCTCTGACACGCACAGGTCAGACACTTCTGTTTTCTTTAATTTAACAGAGAAAGCAAACCAAGCAATGAGTATCTGTGTGACCAAAAAACAGATTTGAAAAGGAAAAAGGATCCAAGACTTCCCTCAGTCACTACCCCCTTGAATGGTAAGGAACTGAAACAGCTGTAGCCAACTATGCAGATTTCTTCAGAACGATCTTATTAACATGTTCTTAATTGTCCTTAATTTATCAAACCAGCACGTTTTAGCAGCTTTAAAATCCAAAAGGCACTGTGTGTCACCCAAGTTAATATATAGCAGACTCTTAACAGAGCCTGTTACTAAACAAGAGGAGAGAGGGAGTTTGCTCAGTGTTAAGGGACACGATCCAAAACCTGTGGAAATGATGGATAGTGGGTATACAACAGGGGTGAGCATGGGAACAATTTCATACTGTCTATGCACACTACAATGTTCCTCACAGCATTATTTTAAATAGAAGTGTATATAAAGCTTCTACATAAACAACAGTGACATGCTGATGTCAGTGAAATTTCCTGTGCTTGGAGGGTAGGTATTAAAGATACACTTCGTGCTTGTGCTGCCAAATTACTTAAGTGTAGGGATAGCACCAGACAAAGGTAAATGACTTGCTTCGTTAGGACTGGATTCGATTTAAAATTAAACCAGGAAGGATGAGACAAGCCAGCGATGGAAACACTGCTGAGTGATTTTTCTAATATCACATTCTAATAACATACAAAGGGTTATGGAAATTAAAGCAGTCAGCCACACCACAACCATTCCTAAGCCATCCCATATGGTACCAGTTGGCAATAACGTTTCAATAAAGCAACTTTACTCGTTGCGATTTGGGGGAAAGGAGAGAGATGGAAGGGATGGCTCCCTAGTGTTCTCACTTTCCACCTCCTGCTCTTAGAAATGTTAAGATTTCCACAAGAACTATTTACCTAGTGCTTTCAAGGTTACTGTGGCATTGGTTTTTCCGAACGGGTTTTCTGCTTGGCATGTGAATTCTCCAGAATCATTAACTCCCACTGAACGGATGTTCAATGTTAATTTCCTTTCGTATCCATAATCACCCAAATTTCTGCTTTTGCTTGTAACAATCTGTCGGTAAAAAACAATTAACATCTAAAACACTGTGTATGCAGCATCTTTCCCAGATAAATTAAAAATAGAAGTAATTATAACTTTGCTATATTAATATTCATAACTTTAAACCAGAATAATAAGCCAGCACGGCAAACCTGTCACTAGAATCTCTCCATGCAAAACAAGTGTGTGATCAGCTGTCTTTGGGAGATAATGTCCTCTCCTAAGTCCTATTCCTTCCCCTTATTCTTTATCTTTTTCCTCCTCAAGCTCCAGTGTAAAGCAAGAATGTGTATGCATGTGTGCATGTGTGTGTGTGTAGAAAAGGGTGTTGTGCCCAAAGTCAGACCCAGCTCACTCTGTCTACATTTCTAATGCTGATGATGGTGAGGAACTGGCACGTTCTATTTGTACTAACAATGACTCTAGCTGTGGGGCTTCATGCAAAATGGCCACTGGCTCTTCACTTTCTTAATGCTCAAAAGCTGCAGCTATTGTAAAAAGTCATTTCAACTCTGCAGTGAGGTTCACCATTCAAGTTGTGACTAAAAATCACTGAAGTCTCCAGTGGTTGCTTCCCAGCGAATGACAAGAGAGAACTTAAGGTGCTAGAGCTTCATTATAAACAGTGTTGCTCTATGGCATGAGGCCAAGCATCTCCTGATCACAGACATACTGCAAAGACCTGCCAGCAGCAGGTTTTCCTCTTGTATCGCTCTGACTCTTGGTCCATAGCAGTCTAGATTTCTTAACCTTAAAGGCAAGCAGAAACTTCATTCTCTTTTCAAAGCATTAAGTGTATTGACTCTATGCCTACGTATGCATAGAAATAAATAAATGCCTTGATGTCTTGACTTTAGTTTTTGTGAGAATGCTTAGTGCGGTTGGAAAGACCGATACATTTACATTGATTAACCCAAATGCAGACTTGGACTTGTTACGATTTTCTAATGAGATTATCTCAGTTCTTGAGGTTCCAAGACTTCTAGATAAATTTAATCTTTCAACACAATTCTGATTCCTGCTGAGCTATAATAATCACAAATGAAGTTTGTTTTGTATGGATGTGTTTGCTTATAACAAGTCTCCTGATTTTGAGAAGTGGTGATAACTTCAGTCATATGAGGAAGAAGTGGTTTGTATGTTTTCCACCCACCTATTCAGGAGAAAATGTAGTTCTGCATCTATTTAAACATGAATTTAATGTTTTCTGGTTTAGTACAAAATTTAATTTGAAAGTCAGTATTTAAAAGATAGCATCACCTACTATTTACCAGAAAGGACACAAAGGTCAAATTTATTTGGGCAAAAATATTTTTCTCATGGATCTTAAAAAGTGAAAAGTGAGAAAGCATAAAAACTTAAGGGAAGGCCACAGTTTCCTCATACCGTAACAAAGAAAGGGGAGGGAAGTAAGGGAACAAATTAAGTTCTCAGATGAAGGACTTGCAGTTGACCTTGGCAAAGAACCAAAAGCCCCATCTGCATGTCCCATGCCACCATCATTTAGACCTCCCCAACCTTCGGAGCTGAGAGGTGGGATTTCTGGACCAGTGAGCACTTAGTGACAGCAGCTCTGCCAGAGGCAGTGGATTAGCTAACATGGCATACCCAGCCCCAGCGAACAGGCCTCCTGTTCGCTATCTGCCTGAGGAAATGTGATTTATCCAAACATCACAGCATCACCCAAGTCTTTTCTTCCATACACACACAGACATGTGGACTGTGAATTACACATTCTGGTCACCACCATCAGCAGTAAAAGACCAGCCAGTTAGCATGGGATCATATATGGCAGAAGTTACTAACAGGTCTTCACAAGGGCTTTTAATTAATAGAAATTTCAGGGTATACCCAGAAGACCAAGAAGCGTCCTTAGAAACAACCCAGTGCCTGCTGCTCACTTCAAAGGCAGAGCTGGCAGCATGCTGGCTGACCAGAGCAGGGGATCTCTCTGTCCCTTGCCTACAGAATAGCTATGTTGCCAGTAATCAACTCTACTGGAACACTTAGCCTGCCAATAATTCAATTGGTGATGCCAAGCAGTAACTTCATCTGTCACTACAGACAGAAGCGAGTTCACTGGTTCATTTTTCAGAACTTCCCCAGCTAGTGAGGCACACCATGTAATTTAAATGAATTAATCATTCCTGCAAATGCTTACTACTATTCCTGTCACACACAGTCCCATGCTAATTAGCAGGTATTTTACTCTTAATGATAACGACTAGAATATGTAATTTGTAGTCCATGTGTTGATATTTGCAGCTCCCATTGATTGCAATGTATGTGTAGGCACACCATGCTTCTGTATTTAGGCAGCCCAATAGAGGTCACCTAAACTTTACACTGAAGAGCCTAACTTCAATTTCTGCTGGGGGGGAAAAGCCCATGCAGATGCTTTTCCTCCCAGCCATCTGGACGGGCATAGGACAGTTGTTGTTGGCCCTTCATCAGTCTGTGGGATTGCAACCATTAGAAATGCAACAAATCCAAACTGATACAGCATCAGGTATCCAAGTATGTGAATATCTACAGAGAGTTTGCGTGCTGTGCTGAGGCATATAGGATACAATTAAAGGAACTCACCGCGCTTCTGTGAGAAATCCAGCTAGCTTGTACACTGCTGTCCACGTCCGTGATTATGCATGTAACTTCAAATTCTTCTCCTTCTTTGAGAAGCTCATGGCTTTTGGATAAGGCAATGACAGGAAGAGTTTTGTGAACTGGAAAACAATTTAGAAGTGTACTTTTCATTAGCTTCAGAGCTTCCAAGGGGGGGACAAGAAAAAACAGTCATTAACTTTTCAATAAAATTTCAGGCCTTCAAGAAGCATCCAAATTTATCTAACATATTACACAGTTGTTCCCTTACAACAAGCACATTTCTGCTTCAGCCCCCTTAAAATTACATTTAAAGTTAGATAACATGCAAGAGCATAGGAAGAAACTCAAATGATGTTGAACCATCAATAAGATGATCCATTCCATGACAGTGATTAAAACACTGCACTCTAGAACTGAAAACATGGTGAGGATTAGCCACTGAAGAACCACAGGCTAGCATGAACTGCAACTTTGAATTAGAAAATACCACTGACACAAAGTACTGTCTGACCGGTCACTGAAAGCCCCTGATGGACAGCCGACAGTACAACTCAAAGACTACAGCACACCCACCTCTGAAAGCACCACAACCCTCTGCTCATGGTGATGGTTCAAGGTGGCTGGAGCCAAGACTGTGGACAAGTTTGTCACCCAACAGTAGGTGACATGGGCTAGCTGTACCCCTGTTCTGCTACAGGGTGTCTTTTGTCAACAGCTAAGTATATCTGAGGACTATGTATCTCCTGTCTCCACAAAGCTCTTTGGCTTTTCTTCTGTTCCCTCTGCAATTTGTTTTTTCTGTTTCCTTCAACCTTTTCTTCAACTTCTTCTCATTTATGAGTTTTATGAGACTCCAGTGAACTTCCCACTAGGGCTTTTATGCAGGAAGACTTACTCTCAAACTGTGAATGGAACTTATATCAGATAAGGTCTTCCAGACTCTTTCCTGCCTCTGACACAAGCTTTGTAGTTGTCTGAGGTAAATGACACAAAACTTAGGAAAATGCCACACTTTTCAGCCATTCATACTTTAACAATAATGTTTTCCTCATGCTGCTGTAAGCAGCTACAGAAGAGAACAAAGAAACATGTTTGCTCTCCTCAGATATAAAGGCTGACATGAAAATCTCCCCGGCATTCAGCAGTACCCAAGAGACAGGAGGAAGCCGGTGCAGAAGGCGTGCTGTGTTCTCTCCCACCAGAAACATCTATGAACAACAACAAAAAAGTCATTAAGTCCATAAAGCCCCTCATTGTTTTGAGAAAGGCTGGACATAAACGCTCCCCGTGCTACTGTAGCAGGGCTGGTGTATGTCAGTACGCGTGCACAGCTCTCTGTTTCATGGATGCTTCTTCTGTCCTTCTGTGCCAGAAGCCTGGAGGTCTGAGTGCCAGTTATGATTACAAAAACATCGCCCACCAAAGGGTCTCCAATGCATTTAGATCCTCACCCAAGGAGAAAGTGGGAGTTTTACCTGGTGAACTCAATGAGGACTGAACGCTGCAGCACAGTAATTATGACACTGAGGATGATAATGTTGTTCTGCTTTTGATGGCCTTCAGCAGATGCTTCCACTTACTTCATGCTTCCCCCCAAACAGAGAACACAGGCATATTGCCCAGGTTCTGCTAGCCACCAACAACCCACCACCAGTGGCTGGATGGCAATGGATGCTAGGTCAGCACTTCCCATCTGAAGACACTGATGTATTGAGCAGGTACAGATTTTATCCCACTAAAAAGTGAAATATTCCAATAGTAAAACTTGCACTTTCCTATTTCAGAGAAACATCAACAAATTTCTTTCTTTGGCCATCACTGGGAAAAAGAAAACCAAACAGCTGAAAGAAAACCTTGTTACAGAACAAACAAGAGAGACAGCAAGAACAGACTTGATTTCTGTCGTCAAAGGAGAATGGCTGAGATGGCTGTACTGATCATCCAACTTTTGCTCTTTTCTCATTAATTGAAATTTAGTATTCATTAGAATTCACTGCATCACAGTTCCCAAATCACCAGGAACAAGTCTTCAATTTGCCACAGCAAACTCCACACTTGAGATGAACCCCACTGCCCATCCCCTGCCCCACTACTGAAGAGCAGAGCATCAAGCTGGCCGCATAGACCTAAGCCGGTCACACAGCCCCCACCACGGAGCAAACATCAATGAGTGTTTCATCACAAAACAGGGCATCCCCTCCTTCACCAACATGAGGGGTGATGCTGATGGTGGCCTGGCCTCAGCACAGAGAAGGCAGTGGGGGAAGCACACCAGCCCCAGCAGCCCCAGAAGCACCGCTGTGTCACCATCACTGATGCCTGGATGCCTCTGGAAGCACAAAGCCACCAACACAGCCCCTGCCCCTGCCCCTCTGCTTTCAGCAACAGAAACCCAATGGGACACCTCTGCTGCATGAACACAAGTGCCCTTGCAGCCAACAGAAACTCCCGGTGCACAACCTATGCGTGTGCACGGACAGGGAATGCTCCCTCCCCAGACCTCACTGCAGCCTTTGTCTCATGCACACGCCTTAGCGGGGACACGCTCTCAGCTGCACCCAGGGGTTACAAAAGCCCCAGAGCTACGTGAAGACAACCTCATTTACTTGCCTCTGAGGAAATGCCGAGCCAGCCCGGCTTGATGAACCACTCCCTCCACTTCTCTCCTGGGTATTTATACAGTGGATTTATGACGCTCGGGGTAACCCCAGGCTCCAAACTGCCCAGACAAAACCAGCCTGCAACGCCCTACACAGCTGGGCGCTGGGCTTCTACCTCCCAACACACTCAACCAGCCAACCCTAGGGCACAAGGGTGTGTGAAGGTCAGAGGCAGGCATCAGCAACAGGTTTGCAGAGCATATTGCAAGTGTTGTGTATCACAGCTCAGCCAGAACTCACTCCTCATCATGATCTGGACACGTGGTTGCTGTTGTGACCATCCTCACAAAGATGGAGACAAACAAGGGCCCTCTGCTCCCCCAAGCTCTGCCTCTTCACTGAATCCTTCCTCTTCAGTGCCATCAGTTCCTTTTGCTGTCACTTGTGGGCAACAGACATGAGAGTCAGGCCTGTGATTCAGACCCAAATCTCCACTTTGCATGCAGAAACCTGTCCAAACCTGAGGGTTTGTGCTCAAAACAACAGCATAATCCAAATTACTTAGAATGGTGAAAAAAAACACCTGGAAATCACTAGGAACAGAAAATAAACATGATCATGGCCAGAGCTGCTTAGCACAGCTACAAGTCGAGTGTCCTACAACCAATCTGTACACCAACACAACTGCCCAGAACAAGCTTTCTAAGACCCCATCTTCCTTTGGACAGCCTGTAGCAGCCACAGGTGCGAGAGTAATCCCCTGGTGCGCAAGCATCTCTGGTTTCGAGTAGGAGAAGACTCCAAAAGCCCCCAGAGGAGACCACCACCTCCATCCTCCCCATGAAAAGGTTAGGACAAAGGTGAGGTTTCACAGCACTTCCCATCAGCTCCTGGAAAGTGAAGGGTAAAATCAGGTGCTCTACAAGAAGGCAACATTTTGGTGTTACCTGGCCTCACGTTCAGAAAAATGTGCTCGGATATTTTCTCAACTCCGTTGTGCTTAGCCAAGCACTGGTAGCAGCCCTTAAACGACCTCTGCACATTCTTTATAATGATGCCTTCCTGGGGATTGGGAATGAACGTCATATTTTTGGGGAGACGTCTGCCATCGCATTTTCTCAGCGTGAAATTTGAAACATCTGGATCTGTTAGTGGGCACACTAGCAGGATGTCACTGTCTTCTTTCCCATAGATGAGAGAATCAACAAGGAAGAGCACATTTGGATCTGTGAACAAACACAAAACCTGTCAGAGCAGCTGACATTGCATAGGGAACTTCTGATGACCCTAACTCTGCAGTCGGGCACCTACATCAAAGAAAGTTTTATGTTCAGCCAGTAAAAACAACTATTACCCAATTCATGTTTACCAAGAGACATTAAATTTTGTCCTAGGAGAGCAGCACAACAGGAAATGTGCAGTAGCATTCAATACCAGACACACGAAGGACTCATGTTCACTAAAAATAATCTTACTGCTTTTTTATTCGGAGATGGGAGATATCTTTTTTTGCCTTGTTTAGCTCCAAAACCTCCACCCTCCACCTCCAATAACAGTAAACAGATTTTCACAGACCATTAAAAGTAATTTGCTTTTAGCTAGCAGCCGGGCTGTAAGGTTTCATGCCCACAGGAGGATCTTGAAGAAATTTACGAGCAAATGGAAGTTGAAAAGCACCTAAATTATGGTTTTCACTTCTGTAAAATACACAATCTAAATGAACACACATTGCTACCAGAGGAAGCACCAAAGAACTTCTCTCTCTTTCTCCCCTCCCTGAAAGCAGGGGTTATTTTTAGCCTCCTTAATAACAATATATTAAAAAAGGCATACAAACAGCATATCTGATTGAAAAATCATCACGTAATCTTCACAGGGTAACTTTCCTAAAGCACTTCATGTCAGCCAACCCCAGCACACAAATATACAGTGCTTTAAATACTTTCACAACTAAAGTTAAAGCCCAATATAGGTGATGACCTTGAAATGCTAAGAACCTGGCCAAAAATAAAGGATGGTGTGGCGACAAACACTCTGTAAAAGCTTATTTCAGCTCCCATCTGCCCTCCCTATGGAGTAGCATGAATTAGAAATGTAGAAACGAGGAGAAGTTTTGTTTCTTTTTTGCGAACTTGCTTAATGCAGCTTGAATGATTAGAGGTCAACAAACCATGACTTAACAAGAAAGACTGAGAGAATCTGGTAAAGAAGATGGACAACACTCATTTGGTTTAAGGCAAGTACTGGTCTGAAAATAAAGCACGGGACATTTGCACAAGTAATTAGGAAATACTAACTTAAAGGGTGCTCATCGCTAAACAGGGAAGTTATTGGCTAGTTTCTAGCTTAGAGTGAGGGTGTAGTTTTAACTTCACTTGATACTGGCACCCAAGATACCCCCACGAACGGAAAGCTTTAAAGCAACAGTCTAGAACTAGAGGATGGAGACTACTAATAAATGAAGTAAGTAGATGAAATAAATGAAATAGTAAAAATATAGAAATAATAAGTGAAAAAGTAAAGCGTGTTTGAACAGAACCAAAGTGTGACATTATGCACACAGAGATACTTAGAGAAATACCATGAATAGCTGTCACTCTTGGGTAGAGAGAGAATGGACTAGAGAAATTCCTAAATCTCTATCCCTGCTGATAGAGACTAAGCTAATTGGTTTCCTCTCAGTCCACTTTTTCTCCAGTATGGACAGAGACAAGATATCTTCACTATGAAGAAAGTATGGCTCCCCAAGGGAAAAAAAGACCAGAGATCAAGATCAAAATAAAGAGATCTTTCTTGTATATTTAGATGTTTGAACTAGCTTGATCTTCGCTAAACTTGCTCAGATAGGGACACAAACTGCTTCCATAGATACAACACCAACACTTTGTGCCAAAGAGGAATATACCTATAGTCTGTCTATACTGTGTCATCCTTGGTCACAGAAGCATGGAAAATATGTTCTTAGTAGATTCATATGGATGTAAAAGATGAACAGCTGGCACCATTTTATGTGCCACTTGGGACTAGCAGGATCAAGGTTCTTGGTCCTGTTCTCCATGCCCAGCTTTACAAGCAGAAAGCATATGGGGTACTTGTGGCAACATCACAAGCAACTGAGCTCATGGTAGCATCTTCAAGAAGATGTAAGGCATCACTAAGACAAAGCCAATTGCGGAATAATGGCCAACCTCACAAACATACTTCATTGACTTTCAGGAACTTGGCAAAGTGAAGGTTGCACATTTTTTCACACAATTAAGACAAAAAATTAACAACATGTTGCATGAGGGCCACACAACTTCTCTGATAGTTTGGTAATCATGCTCAGTGGGAGGGTTGCCTGTATCCTGAGGTGAAGGAGTCATGTGGTGGAAGGCACTAACAAATCTATGATCACAGCTGCCTGGGATAATTACCATGACCTTCAGGAAAACAGTCATAGTAGATAAAGTCAACAATGTTTGTCACACGTAGGTAAAACACATGCCAGATTTTCTTTAGCCATAGTCTCAGGGAAACACAGAAGGTCAAGAAAACTCATGCATAGTAGCCGTCTGGCTATTAAGACAACTCAGGAGCAGTTAAAGGAGCATTCTTTAAACTGTGTGGTTACTAACTCAGATATCTTCCCTTGGGAAAATACTTTTCACTTTGCTGTGCTGGTATTTCCCTGTCTTGGAGAACAATCTTGCAGTTAAGTCTCAAAGGATTGGCAGGGCTCAGAGGAGGAGGCTCTTTGAGACAACCCCTGTTGGACAAGGAATGATTTCTGCAAAAAAGGTGGATGTTGTAGGACTTTTTTCCATCAATAGGGAAGAAAGATCACCAGAGCTATGTGAAGAAGCAGGAAAATAACTGTCTTCCTTGGAAAGGAAAAGAGAATGCCAGGATTGGTACACTGTCAGCTTGAGGGCAGCTGATGAAGCCACGTATCAGGAGCCAACAAAAGATGAGAAGAAAAAACAGGGTAATAAAGGATTGCAAAAATGTGTCAGAGCAGGGGTGCTCTTCCCAAGTTGGACACTTCTGATCAGTCACAAGGTAGATCAGAAGCTGGAGGTGGAGGAATCATTGCTGGCTTAAGCCCTGAAAATGCAGCCTCAAAAAGCCAAATACTTTAGCTACATGTCTCAATAAATCAAGTGCTTGGGGCCAAACCTTACATGACTTACTGCTTACTTCCTCACAGTACAATTGACTCATACAACTGATTCAGGTCACTTGGCTAGCTTCTAGAAAGACAGCTCAGGTATATTTCACCACAAGCAACAGGGATGTAAAGAGAAACTCATCCAGAACATTGCTCTCATGACAAAGCCATTACAAGCAAAGCTGGGAGTGAGTTTTCTTTCTACTGACAGGGAAGATGATTTCTTGTATCAGACTCTGTTCTCCCTTTGTTCATCAAATACATTCCCTCCTCCAGCATTTACTGTCCTATTATATTGAGAGTGGGAAAGAGAGGGAAAGCAAAAATAATGCCTTAATTGATATTTACCTTTAACAAAAACATAAAAGGAGTTGACGATACTCCCTTTGCTTTTGCATGTGTATCTCCCCGTGTCTCTGACTGTTGCATTTTTGGTGTACCACTCTTTCTCATTGGAACTCCTTGCTTTTGCAGATGGGTCCGAGTTCTGGAAATTCCAAGTCACAGGTCCATTCTCGTTGCACCTCAACCTTAATTCCTCCCCTTTATTAACAACCAATGAAGCTTCTTCATGGGGCAGTGAACCACCTGGTGGAAAAAAAAAAAGCACAAAATACAATGCCTGTCAATACAACACTCCCTTTTTTTCTGCAGCAACCTGTTATTTATAGTTGTATATGTGCAGTTAACATTTTGGGAGTTATTTCTTTAAAATACTAAGCTGCAGTGGCACTGTGAAATTCTACTGACACCTTTTGGCTTTTAAGACTTTCGGTACACAGAGCAAGTAACCACTGCAGATAGAAACTGGCCTTTAAAAACCCATTTGAAACTCGTTTCAGATGCACCCGTTTCTGCAATGGTTTGGCTTTTGAATGGGAACAGACCCAAGCTATTTAAAAATTAAATTCAAGAACATATGAGCCTGATTCTACATGGCAGCACTTTTAATCATTCTTTGTCATTTGCTCAATATGTTGCCAAGAACTAAAGTTTTTTTACTTAACAGTTACCTTTTTTAACTGCTCTCTCATGTATTCAGAAACTTCACTCAGACTCTTAGATTAGAAGTGTCCAGTTTAATGAAGACATTTGTACATTCTTTCCATGCTTCCTTAGTTTTTTAGTTGAAGTGCTAGTTCATCATTTCTTACCTCCCAAACATTTCATGCAAAATATTCTTCAAGCTTCCATCCAACTCTACCAAATTAGTTTTACCAACTCACCAATCTCCCAGTCACCAATGCTTCTCTAAATGACCTCTTAGCTTCATTTTCACTGAACACACCACAACACAACTTCTAAAAAATTCTCAGAGAATAAAGCTATATAAAATTAGCAGCTTCAAGTCACAATTCCCAATTTATAGTCCATACTTGGAGAAAAAAGCACGTTCAGACTTCTCTGGCTCGACAGTTAAGGTAACTCAAACGGGGGGTTGCTGAGTTAGCATTCTTAGTGAACCTACAAAATGGAGCTCATAGCTGAAAATGCAGATTAAATTCTTACTACTACGGAACTACTTGAACACCAGAAGAACATACACAAACCCTGAGGTTGTCTAGCAGGAACAAACCCTTTGCTTTTCAGAGTAGCTCTTTAGTCCTTAGCTTTAGTAATCCTTAGCTTACAATAACAGTGCTGTAAGCTACCGTGCCTCTCATGTGAAGCATAGTTGTACAAGACTGTACAACAGCCATATGCAGTAGTAGAGTCATGCCACTGAAAATACTACTTGCATTCAAAACTACACTGTGTCTCCGTGCAGAGACTGAGTTTCTCTACCCACGCAGATAACAACAGACGTTCAAGCAAAACAATCGGATAATTAGTTGGGATGAGGTTATGTACTCCAGACTTAATTCATTCATCTCACAGCTTTAGTTGTTCTTAAGACATATACTGGATTAAGACCAGGTCAGGTAACTGCTCCTCTTCCTGACAAATCCACCACACAGCAGGAAGCAATGGACAGCCAGACCACCTGCAGAGTCCCATTACTTGGCTTGTGTTCTGGGTTTTGGAGGGAACCCTTGCTCTCTCACCATGTCCCTGGGAAGAAGATTTATTTATCAGTGCTAAACCACGCAGGCAATCATTTTTCTAGCACTACCAGAAATTTTTCACATGAGATCCACTAACCCTGCATATACGCTTCCGTTACTGAACGCCTAAACAACCACCCTAGAAATAGTAATTGCCAGAAAAGGGCCAGAAAATCCCCACTTTTAATTTCAAATCTGTTATCTCAAAGTGCAAGTGTGAACCTGAGCTGTGACACAGCAGCTCAAACAAGGAAAATTAAATTCCTAGGTCTCAGGAGCACAGGTCCCAGCCAGCAGTGGCTCAGCAGACAGAAGAGCTGGAAAAACCCTTTGCCCTGGACACAGAAGTGCCTGATGCCAGGTTAGAGGGAAGGAGACCTCTGATTTGCAAACCCCTCTGATCAGAGCCAGCCACTTTTGGCACATGAGAAGAGAAAGATGTCTGAGGTGGTCTCTTGGGAATGTTTTTGGCAGACTTCTCTGCTGCTCCCACAGACCATAGGGTACTTCAGTGACACATTACATGAGTGGCATAATACAGCAAGAGTGCAATGTGATATACCCACCCTGGCACTCAGTCCTCAGATGAGTCAGGGAAGGCTGCAAAACGAGAAGGTAAGGACATCCTTCTCTGGCAGAAAGGTATCAGCCTGTGCCCTGCCAGGGGGTGCATGTGAAGCCAGGCTGGGAAGGACCATGAAGCCCACTTTGTGCCACCACCAAGGAGCATGGCACCGGGTAGGTCACAAAGCCCCCACCACGGAGCAAACACCAATGAGTGTTTCATCACACACAGGGCATCTCCTCCTTCACCAGCATGAGGGGTGATGCTGATGGTGGCCTGGCCTCAGCACAGAGAAGGCAGTGGGGGAAGCACACCAGCCCCAGCAGCCCCAGAAGCACCACTGTGTCACCATCACTGATGCCTGGATGCCTCTGGAAGCACAAAGCCACCAACACAGCCCCTGCCCCTGCCCCTCTGCTTTCAGCAACAGAAACCCAATGGGACACCTCTGCTGCATGAACACAAGTGCCCTTGCAGCCAACAGAAACTCCCGGTGCACAACCTATGCGTGTGCACGGACAGGGAATGCTCCCTCCCCAGACCTCACTGCAGCCTTTGTCTCATGCACACGCCTTAGCGGGGACACGCTCTCAGCTGCACCCAGGGGTTACAAAAGCCCCAGAGCTACGTGAAGACAACCTCATTTACTTGCCTCTGAGGAAATGCCGAGCCAGCCCGGCTTGATGAACCACTCCCTCCACTTCTCTCCTGGGTATTTATACAGTGGATTTATGACACTCAGGGTAACCGCAGGCTCCAAACTGCCCAGACAAAACCAGCCTGCAATGCCCTACACAGCTGGGCGCTGGGCTTCTACCTCCCAACACACTCAACCAGCCAACCCTAGGGCACAAGGGTGTGTGAAGGTCAGAGGCAGGGCATCAGCAACAGGTTTGCAGAGGAAATGGGCACATTAGAGGTGCAGAGGGTAGATTAAGGTCATGCCTGACCCACGAAATGAGTGTGGATCTATCAAACCACCCACAGCACTTCAATGATGTGCTGTGCACTTTGCACATCACTTGTGCATATGCTGACAGGTGCTGCAGCAACAAACCCTTCCCCTTCTGAAGGCTGTCTCTTTAGTCCTACAAATAACCATCACCCGTTCCCCTCTTATTCAGAGCATAGTATTGCACAGTTGGACTGGATGTACAACAGCGACACCTGAGCTAGGGAAGAGGATATTTCTCAAAAGCCAGTACCACTTGTGCTCAAAAACATACCGTGTCTCCATCCAGAGGCTGAATTTCCCTACCCACGCAGATAACAACAGACGTTCAAGCAAAACAATCGGATAATTAGTTGGGATGAGGTTATGTACTCCAGACTTAATTCATTCATCTCACAGCTTTAGTTGTTCTTAAGACATATACTGGATTAAGACCAGGTCAGGTAACTGCTCCTCTTCCTGACAAATCCACCACACAGCAGGAAGCAATGGACAGCCAGACCACCTGCAGAGTCCCATTACTTGGTTTGTGTTCTGGGTTTTGGAGGGAACCCTTGTTTTCTCCCCATGTCCCTGGGAAGAAGATTTATTTATCAGTGCTAAACCAAACAGGCAGTCCACCAGCACCTGTTTCTTCCAGTGTCATTGGATATTTTCCACACAAGGTCCACTAATCCTCTACACAAACTCATGTGACTGAACATATAAACAAGCATCCCTGAAGTAATAATGGCTGGAGAGATTAAGAAAAACATGATTTAACATTTTTGCAATGTCTGTGACTTTCACCTACTCTTTCCGCTAGCCCTCATCCTGTGCATTAGGGTTAGGGTTAGGAGTACAAAATTTCGCACCACTTACTATCCACACTATCTAGTTGTTAGAAAGCCTTTAAAGGTGGTAAACAACACAGCAGACCATAACTCCATCCAGAGGCACACAGAACACATTATGTACTGAGGAAAAGAAAGGCAAAGGGAAGCACCCTGGCACTCCACAACAGGAGTCACAATACTCCGGTTGAAGCCATACTCAGATTCCAAGACAATCTTGCTATGGTTCCTTTTATGCAGCCTACATATTCTTAGCAAAACAATTTACAAACTGAACTGATGCCTTGTGCAAAGTGTTCCACCGTGTAAAAGGGTTGGTTGGTTGGGGTTTTTTTATTGCCCTCTGAAAAATAATGTACCTTCAAGAAAGTACGGCAGTGTAAGGACAACAGGTTGTAAAAGCAAAGTCTATCAGATGTGCTTGGTATTGTGCACCTGAATATCACCTGCCTTTTAAAAAGAGCAATTAAAATGGTGCCTAGAAAGATGGGAATGACTTTGTATTTCGCTTTTGAAGGAACAATCAAGTAACAGAAATCTGAGAGTTTAACCAGCAACTTGTAATCCAGTGCACTAATCCCCAAAGCAGATGTCTATCTGCTATCTCTTGATCTTTCCCCAGACAGCTAATGCCTCGCATCCGAGGCTGCTTCAAGCCTAAGGCATGACGGGGCTCTCCCAGGCCCACTGTTGCTCCTGCGCACTCCAGGAACATCAATCATCAGCACAAAACCATGACCATGACACTAACACTAATAATGTGGAATGAGTTGTGTTGGCAGGGTATATGCCAGGGATCATAAGAGACCCTCAAGTGCCAAGCCCCACAGCATATAACATCTGCTGTCTCCTCCCAGGCCTCCATGTTCACCCCAGGCAGGACCACAACTTTACCAATCACGAGTGGGATTGCGAACTCTTTGAGCTGCAGGATGGAGGACCCCATCATTACACCTCCACTGAAGGTTTCCAGGTGTGGGTATGGATCCTTACTCTGTTATCTGACCCATACCTAGGCATGCACCCACCCTCTCTTTATACCTTGGAAAAGGAGGTGGACCTCAGTGAAGGCCACCCCACTACAGGTACCACACAAGAAAAGGGGAAGAGAGGAAAACAATCCTCTGCCACTGTGGCTCCTGCAGGCTAGTGGGGGCAGATGATCCCACTGTTGGTCACATGCTGTGGATCCC